GGATCTATGTCGGACGGTTTCCTGCAAAGTGTCCTTTCGATATTCAGCGTAATTTCTATGAGAGAAGCATATCAAAGGGAGATGGTACCGAGAAGTTTATACCTGGAAGATGTTCTAATCTTTGGCATTTGACGGCCGGCCAGTTTTTTCCTGGGCATGGTATGCTTTGGGAGTTTGTTGGGCGTGCCCTTGTCCCCAGATTTGTTGCTGTCATCGCCCTCGTCGTCATTAAGCACCAGTTTTCTCTTGCGAGGACCTGTCTGACCAGCCGGTTTGGAGGTTTGAGGTTGTGGGTCTGACCTGATTGTCGGCCCTCCACTTCCCTGAATGGTGTGCTGGCGAGGAGATCGGCGCTGAGCAATTGGGGGATCAGATTTCATCAATACGTATTCCTGAATGAGATGCCTCCATGGTTAGTTAACTCAACATGAAGACAAGATACTATTTTGGTCATAAGTTGAAGATTTCAGATACATACCTGCGGAGGCGGATTGAATGCATTATATGGCACAACTGGCAGCTGGTGTGAGTAGCTAACGACAATGGCATTTGAGAAGATTTTATACATTCTCTCCTTCATGATTTTGAAATCCAGAGAGTCTGGTTCTTCGCGATTAGGATCATGCTTGCCGTCAAACTCAAAAGCTGTACGGGATCTTTCTTTAATTGGTGCCAGTCGGCATTTGATGAAATGCCGAGTGATCTGCTCTCCTTGCAAGCCTTGTTATTTGAGTTTTAACATGCGATCCAACAATTCCAAGGCTTGGACTGCTTCATCTCCGATTGGAAGAGAGTTCCAGGTATCTTGGTACACCGGAGGAAGACAAGAGTACCCGGGAAGAGCAGGCTCAGGATTCTGAACATAGAACCAGTTTGCATGCCACCCTTTATTTGAAGTCTTGAAGGGCATAGAGAAATACTTTTGGCTCAGAGTTCCCCTCAGCTGGAATCCTGCCCCCCCGACTACGCACGGTTTGCTCTTGTTCGGTTGGGGTTTGAGGAAGAAGATCCGGCGAAACAGGGCAAAGTGAGGCTTGATTCCCAAAAAGGCTTCACAAACATGGACGAAATTGGCGATATGCACTATGGAATTCGGGTTTAGGTGATGCAAGCTGATTCCGTAGAAGTTCAAGATCCCGCGGAAAAATTTCGAGGTCGGAAGAGCGAAGCCGCCGTAGAAGAAATGCGAGAAGACCACAATCTCGTGTGTATCGGGGGTCGGAAAAATCTCACCGCACGCTGGCCGCCACCCGATGATCTCCTTAGCAGGGAGAACGCCGTGCGCCACCATCTCCTTCAAGTTTTCTTCCGTCACGTCGGACGGCGCCCATTGGCCTTCGAAGCTTTCCTTCTCTTCCGCCATCGATTTTATCCGAATGCGCTAATTTGATTCGAGGGATGGCTAGGGAGAAATGAGGGATTAAGGCGGTGGATCACGGGAAGGATTTTGATGCACTTTTCGAAGGTGGATTTGAGTGGAGTGGTGAACCCTAGTTCGCCGGCGCAGTTCTGCACTGTAGCAAGGAGTGGGGAAAATGGCGAGAGTTCCGGCGGGGAAGACGAAGCGTCGCTTGGATCTCGGGATTTCTTGTTAAGGGTATCGGAGGTGCAAATGGGCCTAGGCCTGAACAGTACTTCAGCCCAATACTTTTAACAGCGTGGCCCATTGTGTTCCTTAGGGACTTAGGCATATTTTGCTTTGGCAATATTATGCGCACAATAGTGTTGCCCAATGCTGATAAAATCCTTTTTATGCGGTCATATAATTCTTTGGAATTATTGCAATGCAAATTAAAAGGTGCCCGACAGAAAGGTGTTATACTGCTTTTTGTTAGCTTTATTAGGCTACAAAAGCTGTCTGGGTTAATTTGGAATGACTTGTTTTTATCATGGTCACTTCCTTGGTATGTTATATACCTATTTTCATTATGATAAATAGTCATAGCCTAGGCTATTAGACTTATTCATTACCATAATTTTTATAATACTTGGTGGGTAATCTTTAGAGTTCTATATTCGGATGCCTGTCCAGTGTGTTCATTCGTGAACCTTTTAGAGTGTAAACCACTCGGACTCTTTTCATTATGGCTAAAAAGCAGTCGGCTAGCATGCCTATCTAGGCGCCGTGTATGCTTTTGTCATATGATGCACAATTGTGCTATTATTTTGTTTCTCAACTATATGTTTAGTTCGTTAACTAATCACATAGTTGGGGGCTACACCTAATTAGGTGCATCTATTCGATGCACCATATTTTTATCTTTTCGCCCTTTACAGTCTTCGTCTTCGCTACTCGGCAGGCCTTGGCATGATAAGTTTTGAAGCACTCGGATTATTATCTTTGAGAAGGCTCTGATGGTTGACTGCAAAGGTCTCGGGGGCTACTGTGGAGATTATGGATATCCCATATCTACACGGCGATGATATTTGGACTGAATATAGGATACCGAATATAGATAGAATATCTTATGTGTATCCTGGGTTTGTTTCTTAACTTGTACATCAAGGAAACACCTTGAGACTTAGTCGGTCACGACTGTATTTTATCTGTATTTACATATTCCGTTAGGGATATAGATTATCTTTTGTAACACGGACTCTTTCCCATATATAAGGGGGGTCCGGGTGCCTCTAGGGGCAGATGTTGATTTTCTCTAAATCATACAATCAATAACACACTCGGCGGATTCATCCCCGGACAGGAGTAGGGTATTACTTCTTTTATAAGAAGGCCTGAACCTGTATAAATCCTTTGTCTCCAAACCCATACACTTTTCTAGCTTGATAGCCACCCCCTTTTATTATTGCCGAAATCTAGTTTCGACAGCACTGCAGCTCAAATATTTCTATGATCTGCAGACTGCACACAGCACACAGGCAGCTAAAAATACTGAATTCGGAGTAGCAACAACTGCTAGTACAGTAGTACGATCTACCAGCACCAAAGCTGCACTATTCTTGCTCCAAATCTCAAGCAAATTCTTCCAAAATATTTTGATAATGTCAGGTTTTCACCGATTTTTCTTAATTAACCATGCTGTTGTACGGTTTTTATCCATTTCGGAGGTTTCCCTAGAAAAGAATAATGATCCTATGACAGATTCATCGAATGTTATCACTAGCTTATGCTATAATTAAATTGTTAATTAAAGCTTCAGCTGTTCGTCAGACAAGACTACAACACATACTGACAGAACAACTGAACAAAATCATCCATCCATACAGAACGAGGATCAATGGTGGTTGTACCCAACTGACAGAGCGATGATCGTAAGCTCCTTCAGCTCTGGAACCAGAATTGTAACGAACGTTGACACGCCATGCCGATCGAACTCCTTGCAGTCTCATGTACTAATAGAAACCAATCTGAAATTCGTCTTCGATTCGTGTTACCTTAAATTCTGACGAAAGATTAAAGCAGCATGATGCAGTTGAGTAATTCAGATAAGCAGAGAGCAGTTGCAAAGGGGAGATCGAGTTCAGAGTTGAGGTTGAGGTCATGTGGGTTTGGTCATAACTCTAACCAATCCAATAGATCTATGAATGGATCATGGATGTAAAGTTCCAAACTAAATGATAATTTGGAGCCACCTGCCTTTACATGCTCTCTAATTGGATCATCTGGACCAGCTCATCATATTACCGATTATTTTGGGTGAAAAAATAAGAATACTTTTGTGCCAGTGGGCTGCATTGCAGGTCATTTTTTGTTGTCCTCCTGGTGCCTTCGCTGATGTCTGAAACTCTGAATCTAAGCTTTTATGTACCAGTGAGATTGGTAGACAATAGTAGATACCAAAATGTTAAGGACCAATTTGGACAGGATCACAGGAACAGTTGTCCATGGCTGTTGCTAGCTACACTAATTCATTGTCCAACAAACAGAATTGATAGAGAATTTTGACCATGCCAATTCAATTGGCAACCGAAATCCGTGACATTAGTCATGGCGTCCAAGAAGTAGGTCTATGTTTCCTACAATAATAAAGTGTCAATGATATTAGTATATCACCGTATCAAAATATAAGAACAACAATTTTTGATAGTCGAGAATAAGGGCCCGTTTAAAAACGCCGATTTATAATGGATGATACATGAAACCCAGTTTATAGCATTATTCAAGATCATAGATGAATGAATTAAATAGATATTACAAAGTTGATGGGTTGATTTCAAGAGATTTTAAAAAATTGATAAAGAAAGTTCTTTAAAAAAATCATATCAGTAACTTAGAAGCACATCCATGATAATTCGGCGACCAGTAGTCATACTCCCTTGGATAAGGCCTAAACTTTTTTTTTTCTCATTTTACACCCAAACTAGTAGAGCGTGCACTTTACTTTGTAGGCATTTCTTTTTTTTTTTGTTTCTCTCCATATAAGTCAGTATTTTGAACTGAAATTGGTAGAATTCATATATGCATTACAATTCAATTCTTAAGGTTTTTTAATCTTTCTTGTCACTATTTGCATAGGTTAAAAGCACCTAAGATTGATTTAAACAATGAGATTTAAAGTTCAACCAAACGATTCTGAAAGTATTTGAACTTATTTTGGATCTTTTATATTACGCCAACTATGGCTGTAAAAACTTCATCTTAAAAAATACAACTTGTATAAAAAATACTATTAAGCAGTAAAGAGAATAATTTTAATAATCTAAAGGAAATATGAGCGAAGGTTGTGCATGTGTGTTAATAGAGATAAGTGTGCATGCGTCGTGAATATCTGTGTTTGAATCATGTTTCTTAAAAATAAAAATTTTAACAATAGTTTAATGGTTAACTGATACTCTCTCTGTTTTATATTATAAGTCGTATTTAACTCTTTCTTTCCTACTATAAAAAATTTCAGTTTTATTAAGTTCATAATAGCAACATCTAAAACATCAAATTAGTTTCATCGAATATATTTTGATAATATATTTGTTTTGTCTTGAAAATGTAATAATCAAAACGACTTAAAATGAAAAATGAAAGAGCGGCCCAATACCGGAGGAAGATGAATGGACCACAGGAGGATGAGATGGTCAGAATCTGGATAGAGTCGTGGGCCCACTTCCAGTGACACTGATTTTTCCACATACTGCTCGCACGTTGCTCGTGCTTCGCTCGCCGCCGATGAGGCCGGGAGCCATGGCCGCCGCCGCCGCGAAGCTCCCGCGCCTCACCACCTCCGCCGCGCTCTTCCCGACCCCGAGGCCGTTCGGCTCCCCCAGGCCCGCCAAAGCCAGGCCGATGCCGCCGCCGCCGCCCATCACCATCTCCATGGACCCTGCCGCCGTCGACCCGGCCCACCTCCAGGCGCTCATGCTCGCCTGCGCACACTCCTGCGCCATCCGCCCCTCGCCGCCCTCCGCCGCGGAGGACCCCGTCGACCTCCGCAAGCTCCGCGTCGCGCTCGCGCACAGCTTCCTCGTCGTGTCCGTCTTCTGCAGCGCGAGGTTCCTGGACGATGGGGATGGGGGTGTCGATGGCGATGGCCGGCGGCGGCTGCTGGGCCTGGGGCTCGGGCTCGGGCGGCGAGAGGACCGGCGGCTCGTCGGATTTGGCCGGGCCGTCTCCGACGTCGGGCTCACCGCGTCCGTCCACGACGTCGTGGTATAATTTTTTCCTTTCTTGTGATCTCAAATGGGCGATGAGGTAATTGTTCCTGATGGAATTCTGGGATGCAGCAATTAGTTTGATCCGTATGGATACCTATGAGTATGAGCATGGGTGGTAGTGTAGTAGATCGATTTCAATATTGATTCCATCTAGCAACCAAACACTGACTAAAAATTCAAAGTTTGTTGCAAGAAACTAGAGCACTCTCACAGTGTACTTCTGAGAGAGCAATTTTATCTGCAGTAGGAATGCTGAGTGAAAAACAAACCACAGAAGGCAACATTTCAACATTGGCGGTGCAGCCGTGTGTATTTCTTGCGACCCTAATACGTGAATTGTCTGTTATGTTATCCAAAATAGAAAAGAAAAACTCAAAGAACATTGTGCATGTGAAAAAGAAATGCAATAACTGAAAGTAAAATTTTTTGTGCACTAATATAGTTGATGTACGTTCAAACATTTTCTTCACAGCACTAGGTGCAACTGAAATGATTGGGAGGGTACTTGGGCCATCAAAATGATGTGCATACCTGAACTGAGTACAGTCTGTTAGTCTATCTACAATCTACTGATAACTTACTTTGATGTGTCCTACTTATATTATTTTCCTGAATCCTGAACATTGAACAAAAGGTTGTCGACCTATTGAATTGCATCTGTTCATATGACTTTCTTCAGTGACTAACAGGTACATCCGTCACTACAGAGGAGAGGTATAGGCCGACAAATTGTTGAGAGAATGACAAGGTAATGTATTATCTCCAGTGTTTTCAGTGATAGTATTTGAAAGGGGGTTCCTTGTGTCACTTTATTTCATTAGAGGAAAAAAGCAGCATACATGACATTGTACATAAATTATGCCAGCCAGCAAAACCACAGCATAAACACTTCTATAGACATTCTCAATGGATGCCTTGCAACTGAAAATCGAAGTCTTGTTGTACATAAACAAGAAAAAAATAAAGTTCCTTTTTGCAATCTGTTAGTTGATGAATTCTTCCCAGAATGTTCTCTATTGTTATTCCAAAATTGATTCGTACTTGCTTGGATTGATCACTTATCTTGGGAGTATGTAAGAAGCAAGTATAATTTGCACACAGATTATTAACTAGGCTTTTTTAACTGTCTTAGTTTTTGGTATACAAAGTCCCCTTGCCTTGTACGTCCTTAATGCCACAGTCAAAACCAAGTTACTGATGGTATCTTGATCAAGTGATCTTAGGTCAACGACGCAATAAATCTATTTGAAGTAGAGAACTTGTTGAGTGCATCAGGTTGATCCAATGTTCAAATTTCATTTACTCATCTTATCTGTCACAATTTCTGCAGAGTACTCCATAACAGAGGTATATTTGACATTTCCGCACTATGTACAGAAAAGGAGAGGTATTGCCTTCCTGTCTAATCTGGCACACCTCATGTGAATCCGTGTTCTTGTCGAATATACTATATGATGGAAGTGTGATGATATACTTTGACATATGCGCTGCAATATATATTCACTGGTATATGATGAGTTTATCATTCCCTGGTGCTAATGGCAGGCCCTTTTTTGAAGCATGTGGATTTGGGGACGATGCAATGGGTTCAACAACAATGATGTACACGGGAAAGATGCACAGATAGTACACAATGATAATTGTCTCAAGGAAGATATTGACAGCTCCTCTGGTGGGTTAACAGTTGCTGCTTGAATATATCACTGCCAGTAAAGGAACAGCAGCCGGAGTAAATTATGCAATCCTTTCTAGCTGGTTAGAAGAGAAAATAACCAGAAGGATATGGCAAAACTCATAGCATACTAGTATTTGTGAAGGATAGCAGTACATACCATGTTTGATACCCCAGACCAGCATCTGTATACTCTACCACTGATTGTAAAAACTTTGAGATGAGTGCTAAGATTTCATTTACAAACAAAGAATGAAGGAAGGAAACAAATACATCAAACAAGTTATTGAATCTGCAGTGGAAATAGCAATTATCCTTCAAGGCTTACTTATTTTTAATCTTTTAGTGCACGGTATAAACTGTGGAGTGTAAGAAGAATTTGTCCATCTTTTGATTCAATCTGTCTCAATCAGCTCGGTTAATAGAAAGGACTGTGTTCTGAACCTCTGTAAAAACGCAATAGAAGAATATGCATCTTGGGGCATTGGCAAAATGAAAAACCAAGCACATTCCTGAAACATCAGCAAACGGCACGGTTCAATTTGTATAGCGTACAGCTACCATTGCTGCAATCAGTTTTCGGTTACATGTGCTTCTAGTTCGAATGGAAGTTGTAAAAACCAGCAAATATTCATCGCAAAATCAGTTACATGTGCTTCTGAAAGTTGATAACAAACCGTGCTAAGTTGAGTCCCCACGAATTCCTCTCGATCTTCAGGCAGCCGCCAAGTGGATGTGGATCAGATATTCTGATGTTCCCCTGTCTTATAGATACCTGGTGAAGCAAGACAAAAGGATTGCCTTCAAAATTCATGAACACGCTTCATCTGAATCTCTTGTGTTTAGCTGCAATCTGCAGGTACGGTCTGATGATAGCGAGGTTTGGTCTGAAGGAAAATGGCAGCGAATTCTGTTCATACATGCAACTACTATTAAAAATTTCCAGAAGTCCATTTTGTCTTTTACATTGGCCAAACAAAATAGTACTCCTATCTACTACTATTTGCTAGCAATTGGCTTGAATCTGATGATTTGAGCATCTGCACGACGAAGCCATGGTTTGAAGAAAAACCCTGCTCACGACGAAGCCATGGTTTGGGGATCGAGCAAACTTGTTTTTGTCATCCAACATTTATCTTAAATCGAACCAGACATGGTCTAAATTTTTCCTTTTACTTAAATCTAGGATAAGAGCTTTACTTGCAGTCAGTTGGCACTATCTGTACAGTAACAGTACTACAAAACCGTTCCAACTGTCGATCTTTGGCAGGCAAATGCTTTCTCATCAAGCTTATGCGTTGCCGTAACCGTAAACATAGCTTTTTGCGTTGCCGTAAACATTGACTTGTTAGGCCGACCAGAGTCACAGATGGATGGCATCATGGCAGTATGGCACCTCACAATCAGTACACGATACAGGCAAAATCTTACACCTAAAAAAGAAGTGTCCACCTGAAGCTCAAGACGCATTTCTCGTGCATTCTTTATGCAGCAGCAGAAGAACTCCATCCTCCCAAATTGCTCAAACACACAACCACTTTGCTCTTTGCACATGTCAGGTGCAGCAAGCAGCGTCGTCAAGTCGGCGCAAGCAGCGATCAATCTGAACTACGTAGTACATCGCCGTCTGCGTATGCTAATCCTCTCTCCCATAACTTTGCCCAGTAATCAAGCGTAAACCTAACCATCTCGTACTTAATCTGAAGAGAAAGACAAGGTCTCGTCTTGTTTTGAACGGCAGCACCCTAGTCAACTTCAAACTGCGCAGTAGAGGCAAAAGCTGGTCGTCGTGGCGGGTTCATCGGGAGGGGATTATTGATTTAGTTTTTTTTAAAAAAATGGATTATTGATTTATGTTATACTTGACACAGTTCTATATAGTATTAGATTTTTTTTAAAAAATACAAACGCAAATACCTACAACACGTGTGCACTCACCTCTTATGAATGCGCCCGCCCAAACACCTTACTCCTATAGCTGCATCCAAAAGACCGGACCGGTAACTACTAATAAAAGAATAATACTGTAAATGAGAACACCTGTATCAAATATGAAATTTGAATCCGGATGATTTAGTTTCATCACAACAACCTAACCAGTTGATCTACACTTATTCCATAGATTAATGATAAATTTAAAGTTTATATGTTAAATTGTTATTGTTTAAGTTTTAAATTTATATATTCATATATTTATAGAGCTAGAAATATTCAGCTCTTAAAATCATTGGATCCCTAGCTCTGCCAGACCGTATTCTTTCACCTTATTTTTCAGCTCACCTCTTCTTTTTTTTTCGTACACATGTTTTTCATACAGTCAAACTATACCATTTTCTAAAAAAAAATTCTATATGAAAAATTGTTTTAGAAAACATATTTACCATTCTTTTTGAAGATAAGGATACTTAATTAATTATGTGCTAAAAAAATGTTCCGTTTTACGTTTGAGATAGCTCCCAAACGCAACTAACGATCACATCCTAGACAGCAAAGAAGGCATTGTTTCGGCGTCCGCGCCGCGTCGCGAGGATTTTCAGAGGCCAACCCAACCAAACAAACAACCTCCAAAAACCATCCCCCGGGATTATCTCCGCGATCTCCTCTTCTCCCCCGCCGCCGCTGCTTTGCGGTTGCACCCGCCCATGTCCGCGCCGCCGCCGCCGCCGCCTAATGCTAGCACTCCTGCTCCTGCACCGCCGTTGCCTCCGTCTCTTGGTGCACCCGACCCGCCGCCACCACCACCACCTGTGATGCCATCTCGTCCGCCGCCGGCTGCTCCGCCTCCCTCGCCACCGGCAGCGTCTCCTCCTCCTCCTCCTGCTCCACCGGTGGCGCCGCGGCCAACTCCGTCGCCTCCTCCTCCTCCACCGGTGATGCCGTCGAAGCCAGTGAAACCTGTACCGCCTTCGTCGCCTCCTCCTCCTCCGGTGATGCAGCCGCCGTCGCCATCTCCACCACTAATACCGCCGCCGCCGCCGCCTACTCCGGTGATGCCGGTGCTACCACCGACGCCGTCCCCGCCTTCACCGGTGAATCCACCACCGCCATCGCCGTCCCCGCCGCCTTCTCCGGTGAACCCACTGCCGCCAATAACGTCACCACCTTCCCCGGTGTCACCACCTTCTCCGGCAAATCCACTGCCGCCTGCGACGTCACCACCTTCTCCGGCGAACCCACTGCCGCCTGCGACGTCACCACCTTCTCCGGCGAATCCACTGCCGCCGACGACGTCACCACCTTCTCCGGCGAATCCATTGCCGCCGACGACGTCACCACCTTCCCCGGCGAATCCACTACCGCCAACGACGTCACCTCCTTCTCCGGCGAATCCACTACCACCAGCGACGTCACCGCCTTCTCCAGCGCCGCCTCCAACGGTGCCTTCCCAACCACCGGAGGCTGCACCGGCGCCGACGACGAAGCCACCACCAACCCCGCTCCCACCAGCTCGATCGCCGCCAGCGCCATCTCCAGCTTCCCGCGAACCGTCTCCCTCGCCGTCGCCGTCAGTAGCACCACCGTCTCTTCCAATCTTCACCCCGTCACCCCCCGGTGGTGGCCGCGGCGCCGCCACTCCTTCGCCGCCGTCGTCGCGGCCGTCGCCTAGATCTCCGCCGCCGCCGTCCTCCGCCCCGCAAGGAGTGATGATCGCCATCGTCGCGGCCATCGTGGCGTTGCTCGTGCTCGGCGCAGTCGCCGCCGGGCTGCTGTGCTTCTGCTCGCGCCGCCGTCGCCGCCGCCGCCGCCGCCAACCAACATCGCCGGGTATGTGTTCGACCGCTCACTTTACACCACTAACCTGGCCGGTGCAACGCCGGTGCAGCACCGGCCGGCCACCGGCGTGTCGCGCGGACACGGGTTTGCATTAGCGCAAGTCGTCGGCTCTTCGCCGCCGCCGCGCGGTTACGACGCATCGCGCACGCGCGCGCGCACTTTCGCCATGTCGCGTCGTGCGCGGTGGTGACGTCACGGAGGCAAATGGTGACCGTGACACGTGGTCGTAAAGTTGGATGCACCAAACGGCTTGGGGATATGGAGGGACGATGGACGTGTTGCTCTTGCACAATTCGATCAAACTTGAGCTTTTCTTCAAGTTAGTTAGTGGACGGACCGTGTAGACGAAGTTGGATGCAATCGAGTACTCCCTCCGTCCCAAAAAAAAAACTCACTTATATCCTTTGTGTAAATTTGTTATACTAAAGTTAGGTTAAATTTTTTTATGGAGGGAGTATACACAAAGTGGTTTAGAGGGTTTTAAAGTTAGTGTGTTCTGGATTGAAAATTTCTTGAAGTTAACAAATACTTCATCTTTCACAAAATATAATAACCTACTACAATAGATTAATGAACGTGTTCAGATTTGTAGTAGTAGAAAATATCTCATCCGATTCTAAGTAGATTCAGAAGTAAAATTAGCTCATACACTACTTTATTTCTGCATGAAATTCTTAACATCTCTTATGGAACATTTACCATTGTGTCACCTTACCAGGTGATTTCCTCGGACCCTTACCGGTGACATCGCGTCATCACCAGCAATCACAATTCATCAAGCCAACAGTAACATACCCACCACAGCTGAATGCACACTCGCCGCTGCAAAGCAGCAGCAACTCCGACCCACCGTCACCGCTGCTGCAACCGTCTCCACCTCCACCGGCGGCGAGCGGCGGCACGGTGTCGTACGGCGACCTGGTGGCGGCGACGAACGGCTTCTCCGAGGGCAACCTGCTCGGGGAGGGCGGGTTCGGGCACGTGTACCGCGGCGAGCTGCTCCTGCACGACGGCCGGAGGCAGCCGGTGGCCATCAAGAAGCTCCGGCCGGGGAGCCGGCAGGGCGAGCGCGAGTTCCGCGCCGAGGTGGACATCATCAGCCGCATCCACCACCGCAACCTCGTCTCCCTCGTGGGCTACTGCATCCACGCCGACCACCGCCTCCTCGTCTACGAGTTCGTCCCCAACAAGACGCTGGACTTCCACCTCCACGGTACTTTCTACTCTCTCTCAGTTTCATATTATATGTCATTTTAATTTTTTTTCTTAGTCCAACCTTTCTAAGTTTGATTAAATTTATATAAAAATATAGTAACAACTATCACATCAATTTAGTTTCACTGGATGTATATATTCTGATACTACGTTTGTTTTGTGTTAAAAATATTGCTCAAACCTAAAAAAAATTGACTTGAAAAAAGTCAAAGTGATTTATAATATAAAAATAAAAGGAGTACTGCACTTCTCGTTTTTTAATTTTCGCGTTGTCTGCGCCATTCACGAAATGAGAGCTTCTTCTCTTCTTCTCCGGTGCAGGGAGCAGCCGGCCGACGCTGGATTGGCCACAGAGGTGGATGATCGCCGTCGGGTCGGCCAAGGGGTTGGCCTACCTGCACGAAGACTGTAAGTTACTTGTTTTTTTCTTCTCTCTATCTTGGTCTGAAATTTTCAAGATTTTTTCTTTGATTTAAATTCATGTTGATTGTTGATTGACTTCAGGTCGTCCAAAGATTATTCACCGAGACATCAAGGCAGCCAACATCCTTCTCGATTACAAATTCGAGCCAAAGGTAAACGAAGGATGAGATCATTATCAGTCACACCGGCCGGCAAGAAGATTACCACAAAACAATTGCTATATTTCAGAACGAGCATTTTTGCTGTGCATGCAGGTTGCGGACTTTGGGCTAGCCAAGATCCAACCGGGAGACGACACACACGTTTCCACCCGCGTGATGGGCACCTTCGGGTAACACATTCTTAGCGTGACCCTATTTTTTATTTTTAAGATAATGGAATGAAACAACGTGATTGATCAAAGAGATACAACCAATTATTATAGAATTCACACAAAAAAAACCCCACACAAAGTTCACATTGTGTTTGTGTTTGTGTTTCACGAGAGTTTAGAATAGTTTATCTGATGTGATGGAAATACTTCAAGAAGTTATAAGGGGACATCCTGTACTGTTGATGCAATCGACGCTTGTTTATTTTTTCTTTCTTTCAGCTACTTGGCGCCGGAGTATGCTGCTACTGGCAAAGTAAACGACAGATCAGACGTCTTCTCCTTCGGTGTCGTTCTTCTGGAGCTGATCACCGGGAAGAGGCCTGTCATTTCGACTGAGCCCTTCAACGACGAGACTCTGGTTTCTTGGGTATGTATACCATGCATGAATCTCTATGGTTCTTTCAGTGGTTCAGTTTAGTCCAGCCATCCATAGTTAGTGTTACAACTTACAAATAAAGAACTTGGCGGTACTATGCATGAAAAACATTGCAATTTTCATAGCATTTTTGCATAGTGACAACTGAGAAGCAGTTGTCATGCTAATCTGGGCCGGAGCTATAACAAAATGGAGGGTGATGGCACTTGTTTAATTTACTCTATTTTAGATTGAGTTTAAGTTGATACAGGTGTCTAAGTTTGTATTGAAGGGGGTGCATGGTGAAAATAAATAAGGTATAGCTAAACATTTTTCTTGCATGGGTTCCTGTACACCCCCGTAATATACTCTCGCTCCGCCCCCGCCTGGCTATGACTTTAAAAAACTTTTAGACATGATACTTTGTCGAAACTTAACCCCTGCAGGTCCACTTCTTGCTATCAGATTTTCAACAGACTAGTACAGTGTCATAGTACAATCCAATTCTGACTTCTGACTTCATTTTTTAAAAAATATATATATATTGTGGATTCAGTGACAGCATCGCGTTACATCTCGTTAACTAATGGCTGATTATTCTGTAACTGTAAGGACTACTAAATTTGTTCTTCTTTTATGTTTTGGACGATGCAGGCAAGGCCTCAGCTGACAAAAGCTCTAGAGCAGCATGTCTACGACGATCTGATCGATCCAAAGCTTGACGCCTTGTACGACGCCCACGACATGCATCGGCTGATCTCCTGCGCTGCCGCCGCGGTGCGGCACACGGCACGCTCCCGCCCTCGCATGACCCAGGTGAGCCTCCCTTGGAGAAGAATAAAATGTCATGGTGTTACATATCAACTAAAATGGTTATTATTTTTTTTTAAAAAAATAATTAGATAGAATTGATATATGATATATTACTTCATCAATATATAAATTAAAATTTTGACTTCTACAAGTTGTAATAAAAACAATAACTTGTGAAGTCGAATTGGATTGATATATCTCATGCCAATCTATTTTATCATTTTCTTTAATTATTTTTATATAATTATTTAGTTGATATATAATAAAAAGGTGGATATGGATATTTAATTATTAGAATTATCTCCCTGCTGTGCAATGCAACTTGCGAAACGACCAAAGAAACAAGTTTCTCTTATTGACTTTTTGCCCAAAAACCTGAGTTCTTTTTTTCTGTTCTTGCAATGGACGAGCAGATTGTGAGATACTTGGAGGGGGAGCTGTCAATAGATGACCTGAACGCCGGCGTCGCACCGGGGCAGAGCTCGCTGCGCTCGCAGGAGCACTCCGGCGACATGACGGAGCTGGTGCGGCGGCGGCTCAGGAGGGTCGCGTTCCCGCCGGGCAGCGGCGTCACCGTCACCGGCACCGGCGCCGTCACCGACAGCGGCTACCTGAGCGAGGCGACGAGCGAGTACGGGGTGAACCCATCCATCAGCTCGAGCAGCGGCGGCGACGACGACGACACGGCCGGCGAGGTGGTCGGCGGCGTCACCGCCACCAGCCGGCCGCACGCCGCCGCCGCCGCGTCCAGCCCGGACACGTCCGAGGTGGCGTCACCGCACGCCGGCGAGCTCGCCGCCGACGCCGCCAAGCCGATGAGCAGACGAACACGCCTCGGCCGCTTTCCGTGAGCGCACTGGATCTCTCTTTTTCACCGGTGGTAAGTGGTATAATTGTACATGCGTAAAAGTGGCTAATAGTGGATGAATTTTTCAGCTCATTTTTTCTTCGGTTTTAGCAAGGTTTTGTCTGAATTTATTGTCGCGATTAATTTCGCACTAAGGGCCTGTTCATTTTATCAAATTTTGGCAATACTAAATTTTGGCAACTATGCCAAAATTTGATAAGGTTGAAAATGACATCAAAGTGAACAGGCCCTAAACGAAAAGAGAGCAAAGTTGGATTAGCAGTCAACGTGAACCACATGGGACGGATCAGTGATGAGTGAGCTGTACAGAACTTTCATGTTTCTTCCATTTGTTAGGTTGTCAATACACCTGTCCTTGAGAAGATGCCATGTGGATAATTATCATCCACGCCTCTGCTATCAGTCACTATCATTGGTCATGCAACACAAGCGTACGATCCAATCAATGATTATCCATCCTTAAGCAGTTTTCTTAAAGTTCTCAACTCAATTTCCCCGTTTTCCACTTTCACATTTTCAAACTACTATTTTTTTTATAAAAATGTTACTTAAAAATCATATTAATTTATTTTTTAAAAAATATTTAATATTTAGTTAATCATGTATTAATGAGTTGCTTTGTTTTACGTGCGTGAGGATAAGTTTCCAATACCTAGCAACGAACTCAGCCATACCTACTCTTTCTCTCCAATTGGAGGGATATACTCAGCGCATGCGAAACAAGAAAACTCATTAGCAAATGATCAATTAAATATTAACTATTATAAAATTTAAAAATAAATTTATTTAATATGTTTTAAAAACAACTTCAACCTAGAACCTTTATGTAAAAACACACCATTTAATCGTTTAAAAAATATGTTAACAGAAAACGAAAAAGTTAAAATTTTGAGTTAAGAACGAGGAACGGGTCTTAGTAGTCAGGGTTTACAATTTGGCTCGCGAACTTTGAGACCCATGGAGACGTTGATTTTTTTTTGTTAATTTTGAATGAATTTTGATAAATTTCCAACAGATTGTATCAGGTGCACATATAAATTCACGAAATTCAACGAAGAGCCGCCATCACAAATGATGAGCCCCATTGTAAATCCGGAATGTGGCTTGCTGCGAAAGTTCCCCTATCGAACGATTCGCATGATCCATAGCAACCAGTTTGAAATATGGAAATACTCCTACGGGAGTGTTTAGTTTACACCAAAATTAAAAGTTTGGTTGAAATTAGAACGATGTGATGGAAAAGTTGAAAGTTTATGTGTGTATGAAAGTTTTGATGTGATAGAAAAGTCGGAAGTTTGAAAAAATATTTTGAAACTAAACACGGCCTATGTATATGAAGTCCACGTGATCCAATTTTCAAGCAAATCGATGATAATAAGCTGTTGGTAAACAAATGAAGCAATAATATAGGTAAAAGTATATCTCTGTGCTTAACAATTGAAAAGATAATGATGTAAAATAAAACCACAATATTAAAATATTAAAAACATAATTTTAAATTTTGCCTGTGACTAATAATAACTCAACTGGTAAACGATGAGTCTATACAAATTGAGTAAATTTTGATGGGCAAATGTCTAAGGGCTTGTTTGAAATGCAAAATAGAAAAAAACGTAGGAATAAAAAAAGTATATGAATATGATAGGATTGTATATGTAAAATAGAGGAATGAAAACATATAAATTTTTTGCTCTCCGTGCGCAAAATTCTTACAACAAATAGACTAGAGTGGATTTTTTCTTTGGAAACATGGGCAGGGAATAGTATTCCTCTGGATTCAAGGTAGCAAGCCCTTTGAAACGAATATATGTACATTATCCAATTTAAAGGAATCATCAATCCTTCCACACTCTTCTCTTGTTTGGTGTGTTTAACTTGTCTTGAACTACACTCTCTTTTGAAGTGGATCTTTGCAATAATTGGCTGTAGTTCTTTTTAACAAAGGCCAGGATATTATATTCCGTTATAAAAAAAAATCAATCCTTCCACACATTTCCTCTATTTCAAATGAGCCCTAAAATTGCATGCTCACGAAACTGGAGAGAAGTTTAAATTGTGTAACTCCTACGCCTACGCATCCTATCTCTGTTGCCAAGCGTGTGGTCGCCACCTCACACGGACACGCATCCGTTCCGTTCCGTTCCCCCGGGTTTCCGGTCTCCTCCCCCTACCTCGGGATCGTCTCGGGTGTGCGCGTGCGCCCACAAAAACGCCGCACGCACCCACGCACGCACGCAAGCAAAGCAAACGCGACAGCTTCGCCTCGTCTCTCCCCCCCGAGTCCCCAACCCCTCCTCCTCCTCCTCTTCCCCTTCCCCGCGCCGCGGCGAGATCGCTCCCCCCGGGGGCAGCAGCTAGATCCCGATGGCTTCGCGCCGCCGCACCCTCCTCAAGGTCATCATCCTCGGCGACAGCGGGTGAGCGATTCGGATCTCCCCCCCACCTCCCCATCTCAGTCCGCGGCCGTTTTTTTTTCTTGGGCTTCGGTTTATCGCTGACTTGGTTTCGTTGCGATCTAGGGTTGGGAAGACGTCCCTGATGAACCAGTATCCTTCGATTCGGATAGGGGATGGCGGATGATATAGCCCGCGTCGTTTCACGAACACGGGCGGGTTTTTTTTTCTTCTTCGATTTATTTGGGGGTTTTGTTTTCTTGAGCTGTGATTTAATTCAGATATGTGAACAAGAAGTTCAGCAACCAGTACAAGGCTACGATTGGCGCGGATTTCCTCACCAAGGAGGTTCAGTTCGAGGATAGGCTCTTCACTTTGCAAGTAAGATATTTCTTTTCCCCCGCACTGGTTCTTCTCCTCATCGCGCCGAGATTAATTAGGTCCGTTCATGGGAAGCGAATTTGTATGAGCTTGATTAGTTACTTAACTGCTCCACTCCGAGCTCAATGTAGAGAAGATGTTTCTAGCTGTTTACTTCTGAAATGTTTGTTTGTACATGCATCATTGACTTGAAGTTTGCACGACTGATTGAGTCTCAATATGGTCTATAACTCTAAACTCTACGGTTTTGGTTTATTTAGATGTTGTGATTTAAATTTTCAAGATCGAATTGCGTGGCATTAATTGATTGAACAATGAGCAGGCACCTTTTCCATTAATTTCGTGGTTTCATGGATTGATTGAAGTACTTGAATTTAGTCTTTTTTGCTTATGTAAATTGGTATTTTGGCTGGAAACAATGTACAACCAGTTATTTTGCATGATGGAAATAATGGCAGGAAAAGTTATTGTCATTTTAAGAATTTATTCACTTTATGCTTTGTCAGAGAATAGAAATCAAGTGCCAGCCTAGTTCCTACTTTCTTCTGTCCGATACTTTGCAAGGTTATAAAAAGTACTTCCGTTATGTCTTTTGGAATTACCACACATGTTTTTGTGCCCCAAGCCTGCTCTTTACCAATCCTAAAGCTCTTGCTCCTGCTTAAGTAACAAACTACATCATTTTCAGATTAGTTCTGCGTATTCTAATGGACTAAACATCTCTTCTAGGTACCTACTGCATGTTTATGTTGCTTCTTATCTCTATTTAGAGCATGTCTATTGTATGCATAAGAAATCTATTTGTCAAGTTTTTCTGATTTCACATTCTGTTTTATTTGAAGTCTATGCATGCCCCAGTCTGATGTGTTAGATGTACGGCTGTCATGCATACAAATAAATTGGGAGGATCACCATCTCTTATTTGCTGGTTTATTTTGCTGAACCGTGTATTTTGTTGCAGATATGGGATACTGCTGGCCAGGAAAGGTTTCAGAGTCTTGGTGTTGCATTCTACCGTGGAGCAGATTGCTGTGTTCTAGTTTATGATGTCAATTCTATGAAGTCATTTGATAATCTTAACAACTGGCGTGAAGAATTTCTAATTCAGGTAATGTGTTTTCTATAATTAGTCATGAATCATGTCATTTCTGTCTCACTTTGGATGTTTGACTTTACAGGCAAGCCCATCAGACCCTGATAACTTCCCTTTTGTTCTTTTGGGCAACAAAGTTGATGTAGACGGTGGCAACAGCCGTGTGGTAATTATCGTTCCTTCTTCAGCTTTCTAACAGAAGTTCCTTTTAATCAGATTCCATATCTTCTCTCGGTGGCTGATATGGATACGCCAAACTGGATAATATTTTAGGTCTCTGAGAAGAAGGCAAAGGCATGGTGTGCCTCTAAAGGGAATATCCCATACTTTGAGACATCTGCCAAGGATGGTACAAACGTGGAGGAGGCTTTCCAGTGCATTGTAAAGAATGCTCTGAAGAATGAACCAGAGGAAGAACTGTAAGCACACTCTCTCCTTACTCTCTTTGATCTTTTGTAAAGATTTAACAACCTTTATTGCAATTGGTGGTTGATCATTTGATCTACCTGAAAGTGCAATAGTTCTTTCAGTTGGCCATTGCTTCAATCATTATGTACATTAAATAGTCAATAGCGAGTTGCTTTTGTTTTTTAGACACAATGCACTGTTTCTGTTTCATGGTACCGTCTTCTCTTTGCATGGTCATGGGACTGGCTTAGCATCACCACACATCTACATTTGGTTATATTTCTGCCGGTTTTTGTTTTTTGATATCACGAAATGCTCTTGAAGGTATGTGCCGGACACCGTGGATGTGGTGGGTGGCAACCGGGCCCAAAGATCATCAGGCTGCTGCTAGAACATGATGGACCATGAGGGCTGAGACTGTTGGCTATGCGGTAACAGAACTACCTTTGGACATTGCTGTGCCTCCATGGTGACTCTCAAGGACCCATTCGTAACCTTTTCAATCACCTCATGTACCCAGTTAAGATTGATGCGTCTGGCCTGAGTTGTCAAATTTGTGGATGTTGTGCAGTTTATCAGTAGCGTCATATCTTTGTGAATACAATCGGTGAAATAAGTCGAGTGTAAACTGAAGTTTCTCCATTATGGTTCTCTCTGAAACGAACAAGATGAATTTGTTTTGTCTGCATTGAGGCTGCATTTCTGCATTGACCATCCTAGTTGGGTTTCTGTTGCTGGTTATGAAACCTTATGTAGTTATGCAACGTAAGAACCTGTTCGGAATTTTGGAGGCGAAGAATCACGAATAGGAAAATTTCCTGAATTTGTATCGTTGTTTGCTTGAGCCATATTTATGTTACATTTTCTGCCGAAAAAGAAAAAGAAAAAGAAATTTGCTTCGACCTCTTCATCATATTTAAATCAAAGAAAACGATTTTCTTTTTCTTACTACCTCCGAGTATAAGAAGTTGGACATGGCTATTGGTAGAATTAAATTAAGGAATATTGTTATTTGTTGAGAAGTAGAGATACGTGGAGTAATTAAATGGTGGAGAGTTGTGATTGGTTGGGAATGTGATGTTATTAGAAATGTTATATTTTGAGATAAATTCTAAGAGCTAGGAGCTATTATTATTATTATATTATATTTTGAATGCTTTGGGACGAAGGAAGTATGTTTCAAATGGTAGTACCATGCATTTTGACGAGAGCGAGGAGGCCGACGAAATAGCAATGATCACGGGCCGGACATGTCGCGGACGCGGCGCGCACACGCCGACAAGCAGTTCGCTCTCCACCCATTCCTTCCACGTTTCCCCCCTCGCCCCAATCACGCGCGTTAACTCCCGCGCCGCGCCGCCGGCCACTGTGCTCGCCGCGGCACGCGCTCCCTCCCTATATAAGCAGGTCGCCGTGCGTTCCGTCGTTTGGCGTAGTGTGCAGGTGTAGCTAAGTTAGCAGTAGTAGTAGTAACTTGTATGGCAATGCCTATGGCGGCGGCGGCGGCACGGGCTTACGGCGTTGCCACTCCTCCCGGCGGCTACGTCTCGTTTGCGTGTGCTGCCATGGCGACGACGCGCACCGGCGCGAGGAGAGCGGCCGCCGCCGTCGTCGTCCTCAGCCACGCGTCGGGGGGTGGTGGTGGCCGTGGCCCCCGGGGCGGCGGCGAGCGGGAGGAGGAGCCCACCGACGCGTCGTCGTCGTGGTTGGTTGACGAGGACATGGCCACGCTGCGGCGGCGCATCCGCGAGGCGAGGGAGGCGGAGGAGGAGGAGGGCTATGGCGGCGGTGGCGGCGGTGGGCTCCCGGCGGAGTGGACGGAGCTGGAGCGGCGGCACCACGGGAGCTACGTCGCCGGCGTCCGCGGCGCGGTCGGCCTCCTCCAGGCGCTCCTGGTGAGCGCGCGGCCGGGCCTCGGCGCCGGCCTCCTCGCGCTGCTGCTGCTCGGCGTCCCGGCCTCCGTGCTCCTCGTGTCCGCGCAGCTGCTCGCCGTCGCCTCCGCGGTGCTCTCCGGTACATGATCGCGTCGCGTGTGCGCTTTGCGCTTGCTTGCTTGCAAAATAGTACAGTATAGGGTCTAATTCGTGAAATTTACTGTCACAGTCCAATCAGAAACTGCATATGCCACCTGAAGCTAGCGTAGCTTGTTAGATTCGCTGTGGTGGAATCCCGGGTTCAAATTATAGATTTGTCACGGACGCTCGCATCTATGGTTAATTAAATCAGTATGATGGTATGCCTAACGGATACTCGCATTTACAGCTAATTAAGTCAATCTTAAGGTACGCCAACCCAATTTTTCGGAGATGCTCATAGGGATAAAGGGGTAGGGTGCAAGTGTGTATGCGCTGTGAGCATCCGTATTTGTATTGTGTTTCTAAAAAAAGAAATTGCATATGCCACTATAAGTTTATAACATGTGTTTTTTACTGTGTTTCTAAAAAAAGTTTGTAATCTGCGTTTGCAGAATGCGGCTTATAACAAGGGTTTGGAATGAATATTGACAAATTAAATTAATCAGAGCAGACACTCTCAAACAATGGATATATGCTTCTTCTGTCAACATAATACTTGCATTGCAGTGATAGATAACAACACCATGATCAGTTTGATACAAAGAGCAAATCAAGAACTGATAGTTTGAATGATAGTTGGATCACCCTAACCCTCAATAACAACACCAGAAATGAGACAATTGAATAGATCTATTACAGTATACCCTGAGCATCCCTACTTGGAAAAATGAATAAATTGTGTCCCTCTTGTCTTTAGTTTGAGCAACATCCAACTCTCTTCATCGCCGAGACATCATCTTTCACGTTTATCTTCTCTCCTTTTCCTGGGCCAGCCGACCCATCCTCAGGTGCCTCCACCGGCTTCTTGTTCACAATCTGGTATATCTGAGTCAGGACCTCCGCGAACGCATTGTCGACGTTGGTAGCGTCGAGCGCAGAAGTTTCCATGAAGTACATTGATTCGGCTTCAGCAAACTCTTTGCCGTCCTCGGTTGAGACAGCCACCAAGTGGCGGAGATCGGATTTGTTGCCAATCAGCATGCAGACAATGCTAGGATCAGTGTGGTCTCTAAGCTCCCTTAGCCAGCGTCCCACGTTGTCGAATGTAGCACGACGGGTGACATCGTAGACGAGCAATGCTCCCACAGCTCCCCGGTAATAGGCACTAGTGATAGCACGATACCTGAAAAGATACAGGATGACAGTTCTACATAAATACAGAGCTCTTCACGCAGGACACACAAAAAATAGAAAACACAGGCAAGGTAAAATAGCAAGAGAAGATAGGATGAGTGGAGATTCTCCTCCCCCATTTTATTTTCTAGCGATGACAGAGTAAACGAAAACGGACGTATCACCTAGCCTAGGATGTAGTTGGCAGAATATTTGCATCTCTATGCTAATCTCACTCACTGCTGGTAGGTGGCAACTGCAAATTCAGCAGTTCAGCACAGGAAGACGTTGAATCGTCGTAGAGCTAGACTACCAGGACAGGATTAAACTGGTCTGTATCTAGAAACCACTGCAGCTGCTGAATGTCAAATTCTTCACATATTGGTCAATGACAAATTCTTTGCATAATGTTTAGGAGTGCCATATGACATTCATAATCAGCACTCGTCTGATAATCTAAACTCCAAAGCTGAATCACGATGGCTCTAGCAAATACTCCACTTTATAAAATCCGGAGTACCAACCTGCCTGTGTAGCAGTATTAGCTTCACTTGAACTCATGTAGTCATATTGATTCACCCACATTTAGCAAATGCACACCTTTACTTTCTCAGTGTTTTGTGAAGAAAAAGTATGCAAAGGAGGGCAGTCAATTTCTCCCCTCCCTTGAACAGAAAAACAAGTAACACGTACCTAAATTTGACATGCTAACCACCAATATCAAAATTGCCACCCATCTACCCAGTAGAAACAACCAATGGACATCTGAACACTCGACTATCTTCCAGAGAAATCTGAACCACTCGACCACCCACAGATCCCTTTTTTTTTTAACTGAATCGTTTCACCAATGCTGAGATGCCAGATCCCAAAGGCTCATGGCAATTTCCCTAGATGACTACTAGATCACAATCTCGTACCAAAATAGCACTGCAAGTTTAGCTCCTAAACAGGCAAGAAAGCGAGCAAATGAGCAGCTGCAAAGCCCGCAACTGCGCGAGAACCCCAATATCGAGCAAACGAGGCTAACCAAGATCGCATTTTCCAACAAATCTACACGAGCGCGTGCACCAGGGGGTACCTCTCCTGGCCGGCGGTGTCCCAAATCTGGGCCTTGATGACCTTGCCGTCGACCTGGAGGCTGCGGGTGGCGAACTCGACGCCGATGGTGGACTTGGACTCGAGGCTGAACTCGTTCTTGGTGAAGCGGGAGAGGAGGTTGGACTTGCCGACGCCGGAGTCGCCGATGAGCACCACCTTGAACAGGTAGTCGTAGTCGTCCTCCGCCCTGTACCCGCCCGCCGCGGCCGACATTCTCGCCTCGCCTCTCCGAGCTAACGCTGGCTGGTCGGATTTTGGATCTCGCAGGCAGGCGCAGTGTCACTATGGAGTGGGGAGACACTGGAGTTTGTGTGTTTGACAGTTGCCGCTAGCTTCAAGAGTTGTTGCCCTTTTCCTTTTTTTTTTTTCGAGATGTGATTATGTGAAGAGTAGTTGAAGGTGTCTTTGTTACTCCTTTATACTACCTTGTATGTATATGTCCATTTAGGGGTCAACCAAAAAAAAAGACTAGATACATCCCAAAATATATGCCCCATCGTTTCACTTATCGGTGGATATTTGCAAATAAAAAGTAATCTGTAAATAAAATTTTTATATACGTGTTCTTAGTGATTTAAAAACAAATGATAAAAAATAAACTTTGATGAAAACCCCTAAAATCAGCTCCAAATTTAAAATTAAAAATTTAATTTTTTGATTGATAAGTATATGCATCAGCTGCTAATGAATCTTGCAATGCTTTATTCGAATTTAAGTTTCGGCTTAGCTTATTAGCGGTCCACAAATCGAGACAGTTTCATTAATGCATGATTAGTTTTAAATTGTGCATTTTCAATAAAACTTTCCATACAGAAGTTTTCATTAATGCAAGCTGACTTGTTAAAATAACATGCTCAAATGAATAAAGCTATTCTTTCCATTCCATAATATAAGGCACAACCACTTTTTTAATGTTCCATGATATAAGACATACATGCATGCATACAATTAACTATGACATTTTCTCCATTAAATTATTAATTCTTTAAATCCTTCACTCTCACATCCTCTAATTCTATTGGATGCATGCATTATATTTATTAGGATGATCCAAACTACAAGATGATAATAATTATTTCTTGGTCTTTGGATTAAGGTTGGTTGTGCCTTATATTTTGTAATGGAGGGAGTAGATTGTTATCTACCTCTTCCTCTACCTCTCATGGGACACAGTAAATGCAATCAAACATACAAAAGGAATAAAGATATCATAAAAAACCATGTCATTGTAATTTATTACAAATACACAATTGGAAACAATCATGTTCAAGCACGTAAATTTCAAACTGTGTATATATTTTTTTGAGGGAAAAACTGTGTATATATCGTAACCAACGAGTAAAAGAGATAAGAGTTAATTTATAATTTTACATGAGATAACTTGATACCAAAATGAATAATAAAACATTTCATAAGTAATGCTTCATGAAAAAATATCATTTAGACAGAGCCTGTTACAAGAGAAGAATTCACTTTTCATTTAGCATGTTCATCTTTTTGAAGATAACGGGCCTGTTCACTTTGATGTCAAAAAAAACCTTACCAAAATTTTGACAGGATTTCTTATTTAGTTATCAAAATTTGGCAACAAACTAAATGTAGCAACTTTTTTAGTAACTTTACCAAAATTTGGTAAGGTTGAAAATAACATCAAAGTAAACATGCCCAACATATTAAAATCTCAGCCTCTGCAACTCAGCATGTTCTCCCTAATTGAAGATACGCTCGAAAATTGTCAAGCACCAAGGATCTTTACGAGCATGGGCAGGTGCATACTTACTATGGCTATATATACTCTATTTATATAAGACATATTCGTTGTAAAAAATTGTCTGTATATATTATCCCAAAATTGATAAAAACAAACAACTTCAAATCTAAATTTTGAATCTTTGTGGAGACGGTTGGTTAGACAGGTCACCAGGACAGCGACTTTTCACCACCTCACTCACAACCGGAAAAACGGCGGACCCACCATCCGCGTGCCCGTTTACCTTTTTATCCATGGGCCTCCGTCCGTGGCTCGGCCCGTGGCCTCGTGCGGCTGGTGGGCCCATCAGCCGATCCGTGGAGTAGAGCTGGGGTCTCCTCAAAGTGGGCCCCACCGGGCCCACCTCATAGCGGACTATTCACAGCACGGCGGCGGCGGCGACCACCTCGTTTACCCGTGCCACGTAGGACGTGGGCCCCACGTGTCCCTGCCGCTGACACGTGGGCCCTCCTCGTAAGGTGGAGTCGTACAAACAGCGGCGGAGGCGCACAAGAGAGACCCGTCGCGTCGAACCGAGATTTCTTCGAACAAAAGAAAAAGAAAAGCGAAAAAAAATAAAAAAAAAACAAGCGCCAGACAAATTCGTCTCCCTCGTTGGAAGTGGAGGCGCGGAGGCGGAAGCTTTTCCTCCTCCTCTCCTCTCCTCTCTACCCTAGGCGCGATCTGCTCGTCCGCCTCGGCGATCCACAGGTGCCCCCCGCCTTCTCCCTCTCCTCCCCCCCATCTCGGCTCGGCTTCCCGATCCAATTCGCCAATTCGCTTGCTGTTCGATTCGCCGGGAGTGTCGGGTAGAGATGCGTTGCCGCCGACCCCGCCGCCGCGTGGTTTTGGACTTTGGAATAGGATGGTTTGGGCGTGCGGCGGAGGGGGAGCGGGTTGCCGCACGAATTGTTGATTCCTTTCGTCAATGCAGTGTGATTTTTGCGCGGAGGTTATGGGGGGGGGGGGGAGGGGGATCGGGAGCCCAATGTGCTAGTAGAGTTTTGAGTGGTTCTGAACAAATGCGTGTTCTGAATTTTTTTTTTCTTCCACGGAGCCATGGAATCTGTAATCGTGAATTATTACTACTATACTAAGTTAGTTCGTGTAGATGACTAGATGTTGGTCCCGTGCTATAGCTCCTGCGGTCAGTGGAGTGGTCGCCAAATTGCTATTTGGTTGGAGCAGGGGGCTTAATTTGTGATTACTAACCCGTGCGATCTGTTTGTAAGTTGCGTCGTGGACTTTGTAAACGCTGATTTAGTTATTCCATCAATTTGCAGTTGCTCTCGTCATTTCCTTATCTGTGATGCTGTTGATTGGTTGGTGGTTTGGTTGTGGACCAGTTGTTGAGAAGAGCAGTTAGATCTTGTTAATAGTTTTTTTTTTCTGCTGTACATGGTAACCTATAACATGCAGTGTGTCCTGAAGTCTTATGTTGCTTATCGAATCAAATTAGGTAAGTATATGAGCAGTCGCCATTCACTAGTTTGAATTGGAGGGCTAAGTTAATCATTTTCTCTCTTACAAAGATTAGCCACACAGTTCTTAGGAATGAAAAGAAGATGTATCATTATTAATATTAATAATTAGAGCATGCTTTAAGCGTATGACAAGAGTCACCAAGGTTTGCCGCTATGGTTACTGGTATGTGTTTGTATTTTGCTTTGATCCTTTGCTTGATGCCTTTTTCTTTCTGGAGACTCATGAATTCTAGAGTTTAACTAATAGCTATGCTTTATGGCTTTGTTCTTGGAAACCGGGACACAGGATCTTTGAACAGTGAATTCAGATATGTATTTTTAGATAACAATGATCTTTGTAATTCTGCTTTTATTAAAACCTCCCGTTATTGGCTATCATGTTTATACACCATCTGGTAACTAATAATGAACAATGTGGATATAATTTCAAAATCAACAGGAAGGAGTTGTTTGTAACATGTTGGATAACAATTTAGTTATAGCTGTAAGAACAGTTTTTGGTGGTCTGTTTGTTACTTTTACTGAATCGAAGGGAGCAATGTGCTCATGTGTGGAAATTTTATAATGTACTATTTCATTTGCAGGTAATAGAATTGTGCATATCCAGACTTTGCTTGAAGTGAAGTCCATAATTCAGTATTCTAATTATTCAAAAACTTAAGAAAATTGGGAAACTGGCTATGCTAGGTTTGATAGTGGAATTATCTGAAATGGATGGGTTTTGAGTGATCTTTTAGATGTTGACAATTTCTTTCCTTGTTTACTTTTACGCTCTATAATTCCGTGATAACTAATAGATATTTATCATTGCTCCTTTATATTTCTGCCAGAAGTTGTGTCACAATATTTTAAAAGCAAAAGACAGTTTTTAGCCTAAAATCATCACTGTTATGCCTCTGATTTTAAATCATTCAAAAATTGAATTTGTAGGGAAGGAGCAGCATGCTCCACAAAGACGCACTACAGAAGACTAAAGAGAGCTTTTTCATACCAAAGAAGTACAACAAAAGATTTGCTCCTCATTTTCTGAATCCTGGGACTCTCTAGCCTGTAGAAGAAGAAAGGCAGGAATTTCAGCTCAAGAGAACAGATCACAATATTTACCCACGGCACTGTCTCGCAATATGGCAATGAAAAATGTTGTCCGTTTCTTTTTCGTGTTAATACATGTGAGCAGTTGTTTGGGTCGATCAGGGAAAATGTTTTCTCCTGGCTTTGTTTCATTGTCAGAGTCATTACCGAGCTGGCCAATTGTGAGTGCAGGAATATCTGTGACCGCTTCACTTGTTTTATCCTTGTTTCTAATATTTGAGCATCTCTGCGCATACCATCAACCTGAGGTAGTCTTCTTTCATTATTTCATCAGAATTATTAGAATAATTATTTTGATATAGAAGATTTTAGACAGGAATAAGGGATCCCTTCCTGTTCTTTTCACCTGTGCTGTTATTTTGGTCAATTAATTACTTTGTCTGTTGCAGGAGCAAAAGTTCTTGATTGGTCTCATTCTGATGGTTCCAGTATATGCTGTTCAATCAGTAAGTATACCCAGATGCTTTTACCTTCCTTCCAGCATATTGGTGGTGTACTGCTATTGCGGTTAAATTAGTGTGTCACAGTTCTGATACTTGGAATAAGAATAGGACTCCAAATATTTTGGGAAGGGATAAGATAAGCTTCATTTTAACCGTTTTACTACATACTGTGTGGTAGTAATCCATGTTATATCTTGCTAGAGTTTAGAATATATTTGACCATTTCATTATATAGTCACACTGTTTTAGTTGTGTCCATCTTGAGCATGGGAAATCGAGCTAGTCCAAAATTATTTACTTATTTAAAGTAGCCAGTAACTCTGTTCTCTGAAATGTATTCTCTTTAAGATACATTGCTATCACTTTGTAATGTATGGTTCCCTTCCTGTACCACATTTTGTTTTTGCCAACTTGAATGTGTTGTATATAAAAACTTCGGTTTATTTCTTTCATTCCTGATAGAATGACCTTTCTTGTTCTTTTTGCAGTTCTTCTCATTACTGAACTCAAATGTTGCATTTATATGTGAACTGATGCGGGACTGTTATGAGGCATTCGCCATGTATTGCTTTGAGAGATATCTCATAGCATGTTTAGGTGGGTATATATGATTTTTTTTTTTGGTCAGGATTCTTAGCTGATAAGTTTTGAACTTTTGAGCAATAGTTATTCATAATCATGACCTTAGTGTTTCACTTGCACGTATAAAAATAAATCTCATCATCTAATGCAACTTAACTGAATTGAAGTTTCACTTTGGGGTATATTTTTTCTATGCTTTTTAAAAGTTGTACTGACATACTATAAAGTTCCATAAGAGTGCTGATGAAGTACATTATTCTGCTTCCTGCTTTAATTTGGCCAATGCATAGCGCTTGCTTCATTAGAGGGTTAGTGTGAAAAGTATAATCTTTTAGCATACGATGCTTCCAGCTTTGCTAAGATATTTTCCTTCAACGTTCATTTGACCGGAACTTCTGTCATTTAAGGTGGGGAGGAAAGTACAATCAGATTCATGGAGGGTCGATTTCAATTCAGTGAGAGTTCTCCTCTGCTAGATGTTGATTATGATTATGGTATTGTGAAGCATCCTTTCCCATTAAACTGGTTTATGAGAAATTGGTACCTTGGTCCTGATTTTTACCATGCTGTGAAGGTTGGGATTGTGCAATATGTAAGTGTAATCATGAAGGCAGCTCTCTTTACCATTTGCTGATTCCGCTGAATGGTTCTGATTGAGCATGCTTTTCTGTAGATGATACTGAAGCCTATTTGTGCCATCTTGGCAATTTTTATGCAACTTATTGGGATCTATGGGGAAGGAAAATTTGCATGGAGATACGGGTAGGAGTCATTTCCTCTTCCTGGGGCTTCTGTTCCATTAATTTTCAGTCCCGCCCTCTGTTTGTCCTGCTCTGTAATAAGATGGATGGTGTATTATTTAAGTCATTCTATGCAAAAGCCATGATTCTTGTTGGAGGCTGGCCAAGATGTTTCAAGTTTCTGCATTCTCACCAAATTTCCAATCCTTCTGCAGGTACCCATATTTGGCCATTGTCCTAAATTTCAGCCAGACATGGGCATTATACTGTCTAATACAATTTTATACTGCTACCAAGGAGAAGTTGGAACCTATTAAGCCCCTGTCTAAGTTTCTAACCTTCAAATCCATTGTATTTTTGACATGGTGGCAAGGTATTGCTGTTGCATTTCTTTTTTCAACTGGGCTTTTTAAAGGACATTTGGCGCAAAGATTTCAAACACGTATCCAGGATTACATCATATGCCTTGAGGTATGCATTATCCATTATGGCTTTTCATACTTACTAGTTTCGGGTTGGTTGCTAGCATGTACCCTGTACGTAGTTGTAAGCCTGCATAGTCTGCATAGTCCTTATCAGTGGGACCCTGGTATTGTCTAGATCATCATATTTGTTCATCTTTTTAAATTGGTTCTCTATGGCTTTCTTTTATGCTGTTTTCAATATAGTTGTAGCTGCATGAGAATGTGACTGAGAGCTCAATACCTGCTTATCAATATTGCTGCGCTTGTATTTTCTGTGAACTTTATTCTGCCATGTTTTGCACTAGGCAACCTTTTTTTTTCTTTTTTATTTTCTGCACTACATCAACTTCTATTACACAATTGAGGATATTTTGTTTTTTGCTTCATTAGCATGGGATATACTGCAGAGAATGACCCTACTCTGATATCTAATTTCTTAATAAATAATGTTTTATGTAAGATGATTCCCAAAGCATTTTGTATCCCTTGTATGGCAGATGGGGGTGGCTGCAGTGGTTCATTTGAAAGTATTTCCAGCTAAACCTTACAGACGTGGGGAGAGAAGTGTTAGCAATGTTGCTGTGATGTCTGATTATGCATCTCTGGGAGCTTCAGATCCTGAAGAAGAACGAGAGATTGACAATGTAGCAATCATGCAAGCTGCTCGTCCTGATTCCAGGGACCGGCGATTGAGTTTCCCTCAGAGTGTTCGCGATGTCGTTTTAGGAAGTGGTGAAATTGTATGCTTCTCATTTTGATGTTATAGTCACCTGTACCTATCATATTATTTCTCTTCCAAATTCACATTTTTCTCTCTTTTACCTTTCAGATGGTTGATGATGTCAAATATACAGTTTCCCACGTCGTGGAGCCTGTGGAGCGGAGTTTTTCCAAGATAAACCGGACACTTCATCAAATCTCCGAAAACGTCAAGCAGCTTGAGAAGCAAAAGAGAAAGGCTAAGGATGATAGTGATGTTCCCCTTGAACCATTTTCAGAGGAATTCGCAGAAGCTCATGACAATGTTTTCGGAGGTAGTGTTAGCGACAGTGGATTAGCTAGGAAAAAGTACAAGAACACCAAAAGGGCACCGTCGTCTCTGAAACCGTTCGAGTTCAGATTAGGTAGATGGTTCCAGTAGTCAGCCAGTTGTGGTTTATTGGGTTTTGTTTCTGACCAACAGGGAGCTAACCTCAAATCCAGCAGTTTATACAACATAGGACATACTGGGGGCAAAGCGATGACATTTCCGAAAACTAACAGTTCACAGGAGGATGATGTGCACTGGAGCTTCAGTTTCCTTCATTAACTTTCCTCTTGTGTTTATACAGCTCGTCCTGGCCCTTGTCAATTTCAGGAGGCAGTTACTAGAATTTTTTTTGTCATGAGAGCAGCCTTGTTTAGTCTAGTTAACTACACTTACTACAGGCAAAGAAATATTAAGCCGCGGCAAAGCAACTACTACTGAATACTGATGTAACCCTCCTTAAGTTTCTTTGAATTAACATGCATAGAAGGGATACATTTGTAAACTGATGAACAACATGTTTCAAATCGGTAAAGTGATAATAGCACCAATGTGAAGTTCTGTTGTTATCTTGTTCTTGTTCCCCAGAAGGGACATGCTTCCAAGTCCTGCACATTCGTTTGTGGTACTACTACATAGTTTTGCTGTTCAACTACTATGAATGAAGAAATCTTTTGAGCTACTATAGCTAGAGTAGCTAGAGGGCAAGTTTTGGATGTGCATGCAAACATTGTAAAAGAAATCATCATGAGATTACTTGGTGCTATTATCACTTTTTCAGTACAGATCGTATGAATTGGAGTAGTTTAGTACTTGAATGAGCTTTATACAAACTAATATAAATAATATTGTACAAAATTATAGCAGGCTGGGGATGTAGCTCAGATGGTAGAGCGCTCGCTTAGCATGCGAGAGGTACGGGGATCGATACCCCGCATCTCCAAATATATTTGTTTTTTTTCACATTTTTTCACCTTGCTTTACTATTTTCTCTCCATTTTTTTGACATTTCCCCTTGCTTTACTGGTTTCTTTTGTTCAAGTAGAAATATTGGTACTTTTCTCTCTCCTTTTTTTTAACATTTTCCCCCATTGCTTTGGTACGAGTAGAAAATATTGACATTTTTTCCCCTCGCTATTGTACAAGTAGAAATATTACTAGGAGTAGTAGTTAACAGCAAGGAGACCAAGTACGTATTCGAGTTTGAAATTTTGAATTCTAGAAACTGGTGAATTCGGAGGAATCTACAGCTGCCAGCGTGCCATATACGCACAAAACCACAACATCGAAACCCTGTTTTTTTCCGTCTCCCCTCCATTTGATAACAAATTCAAAATACACATATTTAGATCCACTGTACAAGAACACCTCAAATCCACGTGCATTTCATTCACCATTAGCTGCAGCTAATGAGCATTTGAGCAAGATTTTGATCGGAATCTAGCAGCTAACGAGGACACGTGTCACGCAAACAGGGGAGCTGACCGACACAGTGCGTCAGCAATGGCGAGCTCGTCGGCGGCGGGAGAGGTGGAGGTGGAGGTTGATGTACTCGAACCAGACCTGGCGGAACACCTTGACGATGCAGTCGTGGTGCTCGTCGGCGTTGAGGGCGAGGTAGCACGCCAGCAGCCGCTCCAGCTCCTCCGGCCGCGCCGCGATGCTCCCGCCGCTGCTCGCGATCATCTCCACCATCGACTCCCGGAACGCCCGCTGCGGGTCGCGCGTGCGCCGCACCACCGCCAGCCTCTCCAGCTCCGGCGCCGAGGCGGCCGCGCGCGGTGGCCGTATCCGGACCGCCGGCATCCTCCCGGACACGGAGAACGACCGCCTGCCGCTCCCGCCCAGGCTGCTGCGGCGGCGGCGGTGCGCGCGGCGCCGGTGGCGTCGCGTCCGCAGCTTGGCCCCGGCGTCGGTGTCTGACGGTGTCGCGCCGCCGGCGGCGGCGGCAGCGGCGTTCTCCGGTGGCTGGGAAGCTGGGGAGCCTGCGAGGGAGAAGGGGATCAGGTGGCCGAGCGGCGGGAGGTCACGGTCGCCGCCGAGGGAGCAGTGGCGGCGGCGGCGGCGTTGTTGCTGGCAGAGCCGCCGCGCCACGGCCTCGGCACTGTCATTGCCAACGGACAGCCGCCGCGGGGCGACGTCCACGGGTGAGCGGCGCGGCGGGCTGGACCTCCCCGCGGCGACGTCGTCGACCGCCGCCACCACCGAGCTCGAGCTCGCGGCGGCGGCGGCGGCGCGCTTGGGGAGACGACAAGAAGGCCCCGCCATGGACGCCGCCGGCGCGTGCTTGGCACCGCCGCACTTCCCGTGCGACGACCTCGCCGTCAGCTTGGCGATCCACGACAGCGGCGAGAACGAGAACGCCGCCGCCTTCCCCTTACCTCCTCCCCCTCGCTCCGCCGCCGCCGCCGCTTGCTGCTGCGGCTGCCTCCTGATCCCCCATCCCATGGCTACACTTTGTCAGCTACACTGATCAGCTCAGCTCAGCTCTGCGCTGCTGCTCGTGACCAGCTCGAACTCTACGAGTGAAGTGAGACGACGAGACGCGAGGCCGATTTTAAAGCGTGCAAGTTTTGGCGGTTAGGTCACTGCCACTGTCGGAACTTGGGCTTTAAAACATTCATCTTTAAAAAAAACAGAGAGACACATGCTGGTATTTTACCATGGTTGTTTGTGGTAGTAGAATCAATATACATCATTCATCTTTCTAATCTAATTATAATACTCTCTCCGTTTCAAAATATATTAATCTAATATGTTAGTCATAACTTATTATTACAAAAACTGGACTTATGTCTATCCAATTTCGTAGTACGTTCGATATGATATTACTAGGTTTTATATATTAGGACGAACGGAGAAAGTAATGGTTGATAATAGAATAAGTTTTTTTATTAATAGTATAATTTATAAATTAGTAATGGTTAAGATCACTTCTATCTAATACTACCGACAATACTAGCAATATAGAGACTACAGTAAAGGGGCAAAGCCAAAACAAAGTCGGCACGCTTCATTTTCAGACAGGCGTGATCTGAGCTCTGAAGCCAATGTTGGCATGCATGGACACATAGATTTTCGAAAGCCCCTGGCGGCTTCAGAAACCAGTGTCCGATGCAACTAGGGCCCCACTCCACAGTGACACAGAAACAGCCATGATTCAACCATTCATTAATCAGCAACTTTGTTTGTGCAACCCTTGTACTTTCTGCCGTCCCCTCTCAAAACATCTCTTTGCCGATGCAATGCACAAAACAGTCAGTCACAGTGTAGTGAAGGAGACAAAGAAGAGGCAAAAGTGTAGTGATGGCTGAAAGCTATAAGCTGTTACTACGGTTTCTTTGCTCCCTTTTGCTTTTGTTTTTCTTCAGTCCTTGCTGCTGCATTTGTTACTGCTTCTGCTTGTGTTTGCTCTTGTGCAGCTGCTTTGCCTGACCATGATCGTTTGAACAAAGTCCCCGCCAGGGCTATGGCTCTGCACATTGTAAATTATGCTACTCTCTTTTCACAGATTTTACATTGGGATACGGCAATGCAAGTGTGAGTGTTTGACAGCTGAAAATTTGTCGTGTGAAGCGTTGTTAGCACGGTGAAAGTTAAGATTTTGAACCGGTTTGTACGGCAGGTGATTACATTATAAGTACTAGTAATTAGCATTTGTAGGAGCATATTGGTTGGTCCAGGGGTAGCTACATGCGACTCCAAATGGACAACTTGGGTGCACTCTTTGCTGAGATCGAGCATGTACTGTATGTCCTGTACGATGCCATCCAAGATACCGTAATTCACGAGCCTTTTTATTTTGATGGTTGCTTCTTCAGTTCAAAAGGTGTCTCTGTTTTTATTCTTGTTCTAGCCATTGGCAAGTCTGAAGAACCTAGACTGAATTCTATACTGTGGCTAGCTAGGTACAGTTCTATCATCATCAGTACAGTATAAAGAAGCAATCTTTTGAATCCTTTTCAAGTAGGAGTATAGTATGAGATTATTATAGCCTGTCAAGTTGCTGTTTGTAGCTACCCAATGCCAATCTTTTCAGCTCGATTATGATATATATCACGTCGTCAGATTTGTGCAGAATACTAAAATTGGTATAGAGACATTCTGACCGGGTTATGGTCGATGACACTGTCCATCATCTGAGAGTTTGCAAGTCTCTGAACTCTGAACATTGCCCAGAATCTCTTACAGGGATCTTTTTGTTGGTCTTCTCCTACAGTATATCATTGGCCTCTTGCAAGCAGAGGACAAATTCTCTTTGCATTCGTATGCATTTTAATTCTGCAAAAACCTGTAGCTTGTCCTGTGTATAAACAACGAGAATATCAATCATCTGTTTATGATTCCAATTTCCAAGTATCAACTTCTACCTCGACCAGGAGTAATACAGATTCTGAAGTTTATAAACACAGCTCTGCCTGAACAAGATGGAAACCTACTGTTTTCAGTTCACCATTTGATCTTTACCAGATAAACCTGAAGTTCAAACCGTGCAGCACTGCAGCCATGTTTCAAACTTGAAAGAGGAGGAGGAAAAAACAGTGGTGATTACTGTCCTGGCATATCTGAAAAGAAAATTGAAATGCAAAGAGGAGACAAAAGGGGAGAATACTATCTGTGGTCCCTCCAAAAAATCGAATTCCAGTATTCAAAGTGGAACCACCCTCAAAGCGATCCTAATCCACATCTGCAATATTATGGATGAGTGTAACTGTCAACTCTGCTTGCTGCAAGTGTCAACTAAAGCCAGACGCACTCACCATCATCACTAGCGACCATCATGCACTGCTTTTTGCTGATTAAGATGGTGCCCAAATGACAAAGCACACATCTTAATCAGGCCCTGGTGATGAGGTTCTTCCCAAATCCAAATGGACAGTGCAAGCCTTGACTTCTTCTCATCCACATACAGACCATATAAGATATTCAGAGAAAAGGTGGCATTTTTAACTTCAGAAGCAAAAAAATACAGCCAAGAGAGAGAGAAATAAAACTTTGCTTCATAATATAACAAACCAGCTTTGCTTAGGCTCTAGTACTAACCAAAGCTAAAAAGCACTTTGGAGAGACGGTGCATGCTGTAGATCTAATACTATTATACTAAACCAAAAGGACACACAATCTTCAGAGACAACAAACAATATCATACTGCTGCAGCAACACCGAGGCCAACGAGAAACTGGCCCCCACTGATCCTTCCTCTCATGATGCAGCAATTGAGAGACAGATTCCAGCCAAGAAAAACTATTTTTTTTTAAAAAAAAAACCTTGACTAGTACTCATGCAATGCAAGTTGCCATTGTCTTCATGGCCAACTGGGCCATCACATTTTATTCTCGAATCGGCCAAGTTGCCGCTACACAAACCATTGGATATTTGGATATGTAGGTCAGGGAGAGAAAAGGAAAGAAAGAAAGGCATTAGCTTTTCACGTTATCCGAATAAAATCGAGGGGATATGCTGCTTCTGAAATTGTTGCTGAAATTGCAACGAGGAGTTGGTTAGGTGGTCGGTGCACCTCACGCCCTTAATTGCACATCAAGCTTTGCTTTCTTCTTATCCTCTTTTTTTTTTTTTTGGATGCTTGACTGTTAGAGCAAGTTCAATAGTATAGCCTACTACTAGCTTCAATTCAGCTATAACCAATCTAATAGCCAATTTATACAATAGTTGCTTACTATACTATTAATATATGGTCTCACCTATTATACATATACTGCGTCTTGAAGTCCGTGTTGCAGCTGACTACAGATCTGTAGCCCGTTACTCTTCTCTCTCATCTTCTATCTCATTAAAATATGTTTATAGCTGGCTAATATTCTGCTGTTGTACCTGCTGTCATGGAGGATGAGGAGAGTATTAGCAACGCTGTCTTGAAAGGTGGAAAAGAAAAACGAAAGGAAAACACAACGCTGTCTTGGTTAGGGATGGTGTGCTGACTAGACGCTTACTAGGCAAGCGGCTGGCGTGGCGTGGACGGTCGTGGTCATCCACGTCATCTGCGGCAGACAGCTTGAGGACGGCCCACGTGGCCTCGATGAGTCAACCATGCAATTAATGTGGATAAGGAGTTGTTTTTTCTTTTCAAGAAATGTGGATAAGGTTTTCCAATAATTAGGCTATGGTGAAACATTTTCTCAAATATTATTTCTGTTATGAGAGTATTTTTTTATTATACGTGAGAGATTTTGGAAGAAGTTATAACTGGGCAGAAGCTACTTTACTCGCTACTTTACTATAAGGCTGTATTCTTTCTTCCACTTTTCCAACTTCTACTCCATTATTTGTCGAACTGTTAAACGATGTGTTTTTTTTTTACAAAAATCTTCTATAGAAAAGTTGCTTTTAAAATCATATTACTTTTAAGTTTTTATTAATTAATAATACTTAATTGATCACATATTAATGGGCAACGCTGTTTTCCATGCCCGGAGAGAGGTTCTCGAACACAACCTAACTAGGGCTTAAATCCATACCACTTAATAATATTCTGCGATAATTTTTTGCTTGTGTTAATACTTGAAATTCGAACCAATTCATCGCATTCCAAAATTTCGAATCGCAATGGATACGCTTAACAACATATGACGTGGCACCCACCGCTACCGGACACGTGTTTCACGCCCTGCAAAAGCGCCCCTCGTTTTGCTGCTGTTGTTTGGCGTTCGTTCGTTCACCCGGGGGAAGAAAGAAGAAAAGGACGACCCAGACCTCTCATAAACCGCCGGGCAATTCAATTCAAAGCCTCTCGTGAGGAATTTCCCAAAATACCCCTCCCCCCACTGTAGGTATGGATGGGTTGCTCGGTCCACCTCGTCCGTCCATCGCGTGGGCCCCACCCCGACCGAACGCTATCCCGTACGTCCATCCGGTGGGCCCCGCGGTGTCAGGTGGCAGCGTGACGCCAGCTGGCACCGGGGTGTGGGGGCGCCCCCCCTCCCCCCTCCCCACTACCTTATCCTCTTTTCCCGATGCAGCATCACCTCCCTAGGCCCGGTCCACGGTGGACCCAGCGGCTCACCGGCATGCGGGGCCCCGCACTGTCGGTGGGTCTACGGGGGGAGGCGCCGTGGACCGGGTCCACCCGCCCCGAGGGAGAGGAATATACCGCGTGTGTGCGCGTGTGTTGTGCGGGCTCGTCTTCCTCGCCGCTCGCTCGCTCGCCTCCTCCATTTTTTTTTTCTTCTCTTCTTCTTACGAACTCGAAACGCGAAAAAGGGAGTAGATCAGATCAAAGACGCGGAGGAGGAGGAGGAGGAGGAGAGCTAGGGTTTGGATCGGGAGAGAGGGCTAGGGTTTCAGCCATGATGTCGAGGTCGTACACGAACCTGCTGGACCTCGCGGCGGGGAACTTCGAGGCGCTGGGGCCGGCGGGGGGAGGGAGGAGGAGGTCGTTCGGGGCGAAGCGGATGACGCGGGTGATGACGGTGCCCGGGACGCTGTCGGAGCTGGACGACGAGGACGACGAGCCGGCGGCGACGAGCAGCGTCGCCTCCGACGTGCCCTCGTCGGCGGCGTGCGAGCGCCTCATCGTCGTGGCGAACCAGCTCCCCGTGGTGGCGCGGCGGAGGCCGGGCGCCGCGGCGGGGGGGTGGGCGTTCTCGTGGGACGACGACTCGCTCCTCCTCCGCCTCCGCGACGGCGTCCCCGACGAGATGGAGGTGCTCTTCATCGGCACGCTCCGCGCCGACGTGCCCGCCTGCGAGCAGGACGAGGTGTCGCAGAGCCTCATCGATGGATTCGGATGCGCACCCGTGTTCCTCCCCGCGGGGCTCTACGACCGATTCTACCAGCACTTCTGCAAGGGTTACCTATGGCCGCTGTTCCACTACATGCTCCCCTTCGCCTCCGCCTTGCCGGCGGCCGCATCCGGCGATGGCCGGTTTGACCGCGGCGCGTGGGAGGCCTACGTGCTCGCCAACAAATACTTCTTCGAGAAGGTGGTCGAGGTCATCAACCCGGAGGACGACTACGTTTGGGTCCACGATTACCACCTCATGGCGCTGCCCACCTTCCTCCGCCGCCGCTTCAATCGCCTCCGCATCGGGTTCTTCCTCCACAGCCCCTTTCCCTCATCGGAGATCTACCGCTCGCTGCCCGTCCGAGAGGAGATCCTAAGAACGCTGCTTAATTGCGATCTCATTGGATTCCACACATTCGATTATGCGAGGCACTTCCTATCTTGCTGTAGTAGGATGCTGGGGATAGAGTACCAGTCAAAGCGTGGATACATTGGATTGGATTACTTTGGCCGCACTGTTGGAATCAAGATCATGCCAGTGGGAATCCATATGGGTCAATTGCAATCAGTGTTGCGATTGTCCGAGAAAGAAAAGAAGGTTGCTGAGCTGCGGCAGCAATTCGAGGGCAAGTCCGTGTTACTTGGTGTGGATGATATGGATATCTTCAAGGGAATCAACTTAAAACTTCTTGCGTTTGAGAATATGCTGAGGACGCATCCCAAGTGGAAGGGAAGAGCTGTGTTGGTGCAGATTGCAAACCCAGCACGAGGGAAGGGAAAGGATCTGGAGGCTGTCCAGGCTGAGATTCGGGAGAGTTGTGATAGAATTAACAAGGAGTTTGGCCAGTCAGGTTACAGTCCAGTGATTTTCATTGACCAGAGCGTGCCAAGTGCGGTGAGGCTTGCATATTATACGGTTGCTGAGTGTGTTGTGGTGACGGCTGTGAGGGATGGGATGAATTTGACCCCATATGAATACATTGTCTGCCGGGAGGGGATACCTGGCTCTGAGTGTGCACCAGAGGTGAGTGGACCAAAGAAGAGCATGTTGGTTGTGTCGGAGTTTATTGGTTGCTCACCTTCACTGAGTGGAGCCATTCGTGTTAACCCGTGGAATATCGAGGCAACTGCAGAGGCACTGAATGAGGCCATCTCAATGTCAGAGCGTGAAAAGCAGCTGAGGCACGAAAAACATTACCGTTATGTCAGCACCCATGATGTTGCATATTGGTCTAAGAGCTTTGTACAGGACCTGGAGAGGGCTTGCAAGGATCACTTTAGGAAACCATGCTGGGGCATTGGATTGGGATTTGGCTTCAGGGTGGTAGCCCTAGACCCACATTTCACAAAGCTTAATTTCGATTCAATTATAATGTCCTATGAGAGATCAAAGAGTAGGGCTATATTTCTCGACTATGATGGCACATTGGTGCCACAGGCTTCGCTCAACAAGAATCCAAGTGAAGAATTACTGAGGATCATTAATACCCTATGCGCAGATAGAAATAACACCGTGTTCATTGTCAGCGGGAGAAGCAAGGATGACTTGAGCAAAAAGCTTATCTCATGTCCAAAGCTAGGCATTGCCGCAGAGCATGGCTACTTCTTAAGGTACAATTCCTTAACCGTAGTCAGCTTTCTTTTCATTGCCAGTACAATCTGCACTTTTTTCCTAAAATAGAATCTGCACTTTACCATATATACTAGAAAGTCTTGCATTATGCACTAGCATAAAGCGTGCCACATGCACCTTTTCAAAATACGATTCTGAGCTAATAACAATTTATGTTATCAGAATGGAGGGCATTTTATCTTTAGAACTTGCGTAGCAGATCCTGATCTTACTTTTATGTAAAAGTCCATGGCATCAGCAAATATTTATAGGTGCTTCTTAACTGTTAATTTGGGCTTGTGTTTTTATTACTCCCTCTGTCCCAAAATATAGCAACCTAGTACTCCCTCTGTCCCAAAATATAACAACTTTTAACTCTCAGGATTTGTCCTGAAATATAACAACTTCTACACCAACATTCTCTTCCTAACCAATCACAACCCTCCACCATTCACTTTTCCCACCTACCTCCATTACTCATCCAATCACAACCCTCCATCATTCACTTCTACCTACTTTCTTAATAACCGTGTCCAACTCTAAAACTTCTTATATTCTGGGATGGAGGGAGTACTAGATTAGACACAACCTAGTAGAGTTTAGATTCCTACTATAGGTTGTGTTTAATTTAGTACTTGGTTGCTAAATTTTGGGACAGGGAGTAGCCAAGGACATTGATGATAAGTGAAGTCCCATCTGATTCCCTCTTGAAATTACGAAAAAAACGGATGATGGAATGATTTCTTTCAATATGTAGGTGGACTAGAGATGAAGAATGGCAAACCACTGCACAGACCTCAGATTTTGGATGGATGCAAATGGCGAAGCCAGTGATGGATCTTTATACTGAATCAACTGACGGATCCACCATTGAGACTAAAGAAACTGCACTGGTGTGGCACCATCAGGATGCTGACCAAGGTTTTGGCTCTTCCCAGGCAAAGGAAATGCTTGATCACTTGGAAAGTGTATTAGCAAATGAACCAGTCTCAGTCAAGAGTGGCCAATTCATTGTTGAAGTCAAACCTCAGGTACATTATCTTGATCTCTTACATTCCTTTCACAAGTACATTGTTATTCTGATCATGAAACCACATATTTTTGTGCCTTTTGTGGAGAACAGTTTCTGTACCAAATAACCTGACTATTTAATTCTCATTTATATGATGCTCCTCGAGATCCAGCTAATTCTTTTGCATCAATCGTACAAACCGTTTTTTTTTTCCATTACGGTATAGAGCTACAGGGTGATCATGATGGATGCAGATATGTTGGCTTCACATTTTCTTTACCCTGTTGTTATGCCTTTTCAATTTCAGTTCACCTTGCATTCTGGTGTAGACTTATTGTTGGACAAAATGCAAGATATCTGATATCATAACTAAAACAATGCTGTTTTATATTGTCTCCATGTTTAAAACAGAATTTGTGAATTGCAATGGAACACTTCCTATGTTGGCCTTTATGGTTTAATGCTATACATGTCACTTAACAGTTTAACTTCACCTGCTCCAGGCTTTTCATTTGTAATATATGCATTGGTGTGCATTCCTCATTTATTCCTTCAAACTCCTTTGTGCTGCAGGGTGTTACCAAAGGGCTCATAGCTGAGAAAGTACTCACATCAATGAAGGAGAAGGGGCAACTGGCAGATTTTGTATTATGCATTGGTGATGACAGGTCAGATGAGGATATGTTTGAAAATATTGCCGATGTCATGAAAAGGAGCATTGTTGCACCAAAAACTCCACTGTTTGCATGTACTGTGGGCCAGAAGCCAAGCAAAGCTAGGTTTTACCTGGATGATACATTTGAAGTCGTCACCATGTTGAGTTCACTGGCGGATGCTTCAGAACCAGACCTTATGGCAGACTTGGAAGATGACTTGGCCACATCAGTCTCATCAATAGAAATAAGTGACAGAGTGGTATCTTTTAGTAATTTAAGGACAGAAGGATCTTAGTCTGGTGTTTCTGCGTTGCTTTTCTCGCCGAAAAAGTTCTGTTGGAACTGAGTGAGGGAGTGTTAAGCAAGATGAAACACTGCAAGATTAAAGATGCTACAGGGCAAGGAAGTCGAATTCTTGGGTTCATGATTCATTTTGGTGAAGATGAGGGTAAGGGATTAAAACATGTAGCTGCAAATATTCTGAAGTCCGGAAAGAGATTACAGTTTGAGTAGCTCCCAAATAGCCTCATTATGCGTTTTGTTACGGCGGCATTTACTACCAGTCGCTGCTACGAAGATTCTTATGTTCATAGCTGACCTGCCATGTTCTTTCCATTTGAATACTTATCCCAAGGCTAAGTAGGAAGCATCGGCGTGGCAGAAGTGCATCGGTGCAATATGGGGGAATATGAGGGTAAATCTTGTGACAGGTTAACTGCAGCTTGTGATTTCTTGCTTGTTAACCTGGTTAACAGAAATCGTCTAGTAGGGAAAAAACTAGTGATGCTTTTCGTTTACTTGTAATGTTGTGGCAATGTGGAGGATGACATTTGATTCATTGTTTGACAGCATTATCTGTATCATCCTTATATGTAGCTAATTTATATTGAGTTCTTTACAATTAATCACCACTTGCTGAACTTCCATCTTGCCATTTCTTTTAAGATTTTTCCTGGACGAGATTCCTGGACTCTTGGATGAGTTGGCTGATCAATTATCCTCATGATTAGAACTGAGATTTGCATTAGGGATATAGCCTATAAGACAAGCTTATAAAACAAAATACCATGCCAAAGTTTCGCTATAACTATATCAACGAAACTATAGGGTGCATTTTATTTCCACTCAACACAACATCGATGGGCTTACTTGGGCTGCATTGTCGTTCCATACTAAGAACGTTTTTCTAACTTTACTCCCTCTTAGCTTTTACTACCCTTTTTCGTAAATGGTGCATTTTTTTTTCGCTTTAAAGAAATCATACCACCTCCGTCTCATTATAAGTGCAATTGTGGATTTCTATGTCTAATGTTTGTTCGTCCGTCTTATTTAAAAAAATTATAAAAAAATAATCACACACGAAGTAATGTTTATGTTTTATCATCTAGTAACAATAAAAATATTAATCATAAATTTTATTTTAAATAATACAGACGGTCAAATGTGGACATGAACAGTAAAAAGCTACACTCTTTTTGGATGGAAGTAGCATTAACTTTTTTAGCTAATACTTAATTAGTCATGTGCTATTCCCGTGTTCTATTTTGCGTACCTAGGGAAGGGTTCCCAAATTCCAACCCACACAATCGAACACGACTTTAGTAGAGTTGGCAACACAGCGGGTACGGGTTTCCCAGGAGAGCCCGGTGGAGAGGGTGTGCTCGTGCCCTTGTCTAGGGCCTCGAGAGTCGAGACACCCGAGCCTTGTTCCGGCGTGGCCACTGTGCTTGGGGTAGCCACGTGTCCAGGGCACCCTACATGTTAGGGGCTCCCGTTGCCAAGTAAATATTTTCTTGTTACATTGGGCAAGCTTCTCAAAGACGTCAATGATAAAGAAGTTCACGATAGACATGGTTCAAAAGAGGTGCCGATGCTTGCAAGTGACATCTTCAACACCTTAAAGATATAGATCTTATAGGTTTTGACTCTCTTCTTGACACCTTGAAGATGTAGATCTTGTTGGTCTTAGTAGGGCCCACGGTACCCCAGGATCTTGAGGGGTCCCACTTCTCCAACACAATTATACAGAAAGAACATATTTAGAGATGTGATGCGCCATCAACGCAATATGTGTTCAACTTTTCATCACATAATGGCAAGCATTTCTAGAGTACTCCATATTCCACAATCATCTATTGTTTAATTTCTTTGTATTTTATTTTCACCGAGAAGGCCGAAAGAGGCCATCCGAATGTATTAAGGAGTAAAAGTTACAAGAAAAAACAACACAATACACCGAGGTGCATGGCCACACACCATGCGCTACCACCCAAGCACAAACCACTGAGGGTGAAGCCTAGCACCAAACGACCCCAGCTAAGTGTAGCCGAACGCCGCTAGGCCTACAGCAACACCACAGAGACGAGATTCCGAAAAACGACGCCACCACGGTAGTCACGACATCCAGAATGACGCCATCACCTATCTAAAAAGTGGTTTTCACCTAGAGATGCTCGTCAAGAAAGAGAGAGGGCAACCTTGACAACGCCCCAATGAGGTTACGACGCCCGAAGGCGTAGCCGCCGCCAGTCCAGTGAATCACCAGACTAGGCTTTCGCTTGGGACCTTACAACCTTGACTGCAGATCACCGTCCAACTCAGAACCACCACACAGACAGATGGTAGCACACAGCTTCCACCACACCACACCGATGCCCCTCCGTCGGCCGACTCCATTGAACCACCGTCCCTGAGAGTTGGCGCAGGACCCCTCCGTTCCACCACCCGCCGGCCGCCTCGCTAGTTTTGGCCGAAGGAGAATCCGGGACTAGGTGGCATTGCTTCGGCAGCCTGAGCTTCCCCCGCTGACGAGCTGCTGCCTCAATCCAACCTAGAAACTTCCCGCAAAGAAGAAGATGAGCTCCAGGAAGGACGAGGGTGCTGACTGGTAACAAGAAAGACGACACACCGCCGCCAGCTCCCTTTGCACTGCCATCTGGCCGCCGGTGGCACTGCCGCTCCGGACCGGCGCCCCCATTGTCCGGCCGCCGTACTTCACCTGGCCACCGCGTTGGCATCCCGGCTGCTCGGCCACCGATGCCAAGCCGCCACCGAGGCCTGGCTGCCGAGGAAGACGGCCCACCGAGCCCAAGGGCTGCTCACGCACCGGGGAACCACGGTCGCTGCGTCTTGGGCTGCCGCCGGCCGGCCGGGGCGAGCGGGTGAGCGGGGGCGTCGCTGCCGCATTGAGCGGCCGCTGTCGAGCCGCGTCCGCGCACGGGCTGACCACGCCACCGTTGCCCCAAGCACCTGCCGCCTCCGCGCACGGGCCGGCCACGCCACTACCGCCCCAAGCGTCCGCCGCTTCCGCTCCCGGGTGGGCCACACTGAGTCGCCATCGAGCCGCAGTCGTCCGCCGCCTCCGCGCTCGAGCCGGGCCGGCCGAGCCACAGCCGCCCACCGCCGCGCCAGATCCAAGTGAGGGATGGCCGGATCCAGCCTTGGGGGCGCCGGATCCGCCGCCTCCCCACACCTCGCTGCCGTGGCCGCCTCGGACCGCACCGGTGAGGGAATGGCGCCCCGTCCACATCGCGCCGAGGAGGGGGACGCCATGAAGAAGAAATGCCTCGCCGTCGCCTTCCCTGCTTGCCGCCGGCGAGCTCCGGCGGCGGCGAGGTGAGGGGAAAGGAGCGGAGGCGCAGGCGGCTAGGGTTTACCGAGCCGCCCGCGCGAGAGCGACGCGGGGAGAGAGTGTTTCCCCTATCCTTTGTATTTTATTGCCAACCACCATCTCACTAAATGAGGTGCATTATAGTGTTCTTTTTTTCTTCGTCCTTAATCCCTTCAAAACAACCTAACAATTCGTTCCAAAAAAAAGAACGGTAGAACAGAAAATACGAAGTAATGCGGCACCGCAGTAATGCCATCTTAATGAATAAAAAGAACGACTTAATCACATAAAAGATGATTTATCAATGACTTCTAGCACACCAGCTTAGCTCTTGCATATTTACATAAGCCACACCTTTATTGGAGGGAAAGCTAGATGAGCAGATGTGGATAAGGGAGTTGAGTAGTCCAAACTCTAAAGTACAAACAACATAAAATCATTTAATTTAAAGTAAAAAAGATTCGGTAAAAGGTGGCCATATCAAACTTTAGTAACAGAAAATACCCCTAAACTGCAGTTCCCTCTTTCGTTTATTTTTGAAAAGGCAGTCAATGCAGATGCATGAGGCAGGGCCACACACACACTGCAGTCTGCCTTCGCGTCACTCTTTTTGCCCCACGACTCACACCGCTGATACTTATCCTTTTTACATGTACAGTTAGAAGGCACGAACTGCATGAGCAGTGAGATGGTCAGTACAAAACCACACATGCGGCTAATAAGCATGCAGTTCTGCAATGGTATCTCTCGTCTGAGAGCGGTTGGTTCTTCGATCGCCTTCATTACTTTACTTTAGGATTTAGAGAGTCCCGATTTGCAAAATAAACCTACTCTGCTATCCCAATAGTGTATCAACCAAATGTATGCATTTCAATTAAAGTCGTATTCTCCCATTACGATTATAATGATTTTTTTTTGAACGACTCGCACGAGACGATGCGAAGTTCTATTGATAAAGCAGGAAAAAATTACAAGATTACAACCTTGGAGGGTCATGACCAGAAAAAGGGAAAAAAATACAACCCCACACACCGACAGCGCCAACACACACGACCAGGAGGAGGCTAGCACCGGACCGGCCGCCGCTTACGATTATAATGATCATTATTTGCTTTGTGAATGTGTAAAAGTGTTCCAGACAACTTGTAAGGGATAGTTTGATATACCAGATAATTGAGCAGAAATCAAATCCTGATGCATCCCTGCTGCCTAGTACTACTTACATACATACATCAGGCAGTCAAATGCTGATGCATGAGGCATGGCCACACAAGCAAGAAAAATTTTACTGTATTTATGAGGTATCAAATCTTTTAGTGTAAATTTTCTTGCTCCTAATATCAAAATATCAAAAGATACCAAAATTTACGTTAAAAAATGTAGTATACCTCCTAGTATATATAAAAGAACTGTAAAATCATTTCACAAACAAATATACCTGGCTTGTTTTACCAGTACAGCCAGAAGGCACGCGCTGCGTGACAGACGACGGTTATACGAACCACACAAGCATCCAGCATGCAGTTCATCAATCAGCAATGGCACCTCTGCACCATCTCTTCTCCGATTCTCACCTCCATATATACAGCCATGCCTGCTGTTGAATTCTTGAGCAACTAATCAGGCCACACAATTTCAGTCCAAGTACTAGTGCAAGATCGATCAAGTGTGAGGCTGGGTTGAGACAATGGCTGGGTTTCACCGCCTCTCCCTCGCCTTCCTCCTGCTCGTCGTCGTCGTCGCCGGCGACCTGATGATCTCCACCGCCACCTCCATGGCGGTGGGTACATCGGACGACGACGGCCCACCTATCAAGATCAGTATGCGGTACGCCAACGCGGAGGAGTCGCGGTGGCTCGACAGCTGGGCGGAGAAGACGCAGTCGGCCGGCGGTGGCGGCGGCGACGACTTCGAGGTTCGCCGGGCCACCGACGAGGAGTCGGCGCGGCTGAACCGCATGCGCGCCGACGCCGACAGGAGGGCGAGGGACGGCAGCGGCTTCGGCTTCGACGGCCACATCGAGTTCGACGATGACCATCCGTAAATATTTTCCTCCGTTCCATATTATAATTAGTTTTTGTCTTAAGTTAATACTACATCCGTTTCAAAATAAGTGCAACTGTAAATATCCATGTTCAACGTTTGGCCGTCCATTTTATATGAAAAATTTATGAAAATTTAATCACACATAAAGTATTATTTATGTTTTATCATCTAATAATAATAAAAATATCAATCATAAAAATTTTCAAATAAAACAAACAGTCAAATGTTAGATATGAACAGTGCAAAACTGTATTTATTTTAGGACTGAGAGAATTTCATTTCATATTATAATTTGTTTTGATTTTTTCTCAGTTAATATTTTCTTAAAAAAATGATCGAATTTATAAGAAAAATATAAAAACATTTTCAACACAAAACAAATATATTATCATATGTATTTAATGTTACATTTGATAAAACTAATTTTAGTGTCGTAGATGTTTTTAAATTTTTCTATAAACTTAGTTAAACATAAAACGTTTCACTATGAAGGGGGTATAATTTTGCTTTGCTTTGTTTGATTCGTGTTGTGGTCTGCACTGCAGTTACGGTGAAGTTCATGTTAAATTTTGCTATTCATGTTGAATTCATGTCAAATTTTGCTTGCTTGTGGTGGTGTGCAGTTTTGGTAGAGTCGTCGTGACGGACTTCCCTCCGTCGTCCAAGCCGAACGATGATCTGTGAAGCCAGAACAAGTCCCACTCGCGCCGAGGTAAGTAGATTTAGGAACTGTGGGTTTTTGTTAATTCTTGATGATGCACATTGATTTAGAATCTCCTTTTCCTCTTCAGGATGATGAGTTCCAGTTTCCTTAGGACGACGAATTAAGCTGAATACCAACAAGCTTATGGATTGGAGGCCGGCGGGTTCATTGCACCAGAGTCTTCAGTTTCTAGCTTTGGCTCTTCAAGCCTTAGTATCCTGGGCAAGACCCAAACTATCTTCAGTTTCTATCATGTCGTGTCCTCTTAGCTTAGTTAAACCCAACCTCTTAAAGGTAGTGGTTTTCAGTCAGTGTAATCGGTCTTCGGTCAGTTAAAGGTGCCTTTTCAGTTTCAGTTTGTTCAATTGCAGTTCCTCTGTTCTGTCTTTCCTCAAAATGTTTCCCTGCTTAAGTTCTTTCTGTGATCATCTCCGCTTTTTATCCTCATTTCTGCCACTTGTAGTTGTATCTTGCTTTCGTTTCTCTTTTGGTCCTTTGACGGCAACCTGCATTTCTTTTTGATTGAGTGGATGACACTAAGTCAGGGGTAGAACTAGAAGGCAAGCTTATTGAACGAAGATACCCCACGTTTAGCTATACTAGATGGATACCATGTACGTTGCTGCAGGAGAATTGTGTGATATGAGTTCTAAAATTTTCTTTCTTATCTACTATATGATTTTTCTTTCACGTGTTTATATATTTTTGTACCTTTATCAATTATCCAAAGGTTATAAATGATTGGGTTGTATGATGTGGCTTTTGGAGGGATGATATGCAATTTACACCCTTGATGAATCATCGAAAGGCTAAAAATAATTGAGGTAATGTGAAGAGATGCAATTTATACCCTTGATAAATCATCCAAAAACTAAAAACAATTGAGATAACGTGGCTCTATGAGAGAAGAGAGAATTAGCATTAACTATACTAAGGGGATGAACTTTATAGATACTAGAAAAAATGCCCGTGCGTTGCAATGGGTAAAGTCTATTTTAATTTTATTATTGTTATATGGTTTAGTTTAGGTGAAATTCACTGTGAAAATTCGCTTGGATATATATTTTTTCTAAAAAATCATGAGCTGCAATTAGGTATGATAATCTCATGTTAGCATGTAATTAGAACGATTGTCAATGGTATTTCTTGGATTATCTCTTTTATAAAGAGATTTCTTATACGACTACTCTTGTATATCGAAAAACAAACGAACTTAAAACCCGACTCAAATACATATATGTATTTCCAAAAGCGAACGAATTTAAAAACCGACTCATACACAGATGACGTACCAAAGTACCAGCAAAAACATCTTCAATTTTTATAAGAGTAGAGAGAAGAGAAGAGATAGAGATAGGATACCAGCAAAGTTACTTGGGTTTACTTTTTAGTTCACGGGTTTACTAGATCACGAACCAAATTTTAACGGGCCTAATTGGGCATTAGTGTCCATATGAAAAGCGGGCTCAGTTGGGCCAACAACTATATTTGCTGTTTAATTTCCAAGGGTCCGAAACGAATAATGTGACCGCGGATCAAACAGCTGGGACCTCCTTCCAAAGCAGGGAGCGAAATCCGCTCTTGATTCGTCTGATAAATTACAGCGGCAACGGCAATGCAGCACAATGGTAGACAATGGACACATATATACTCATACACAGTGAAGCACTCCATGTAGAATACAATAGCGAAGACTTTCAATGATCAGGTTGGCCATTAGGAGAAGATGTAGACCACGTCGAACGATTTCCTACATTGCATTTAAATGTGTTCATTTGATCAGAGGAATAATGAACGGATAGCAGACAGCGTAGCAGGAAGTGACAAGAGACTCACGATTTTTTCCCAATAAACGTAGGGCTGTAGTTGTAAATCAGGTTGTCCAACACCTTGTCTGCGGGAGGTCTGTTCTGGGACTTGCGGGCTTGGCTGTTTCAAGTCAGAGCGACAGGGTGAGAATGCGATGAACATGATTTACTGCAGTGGAATTGCAAATTTAGCACTTGCATATGGATAGCATGCACTGGAAGGAGCATGGTGCAACAGAAGCATTGCAATTTACTGGTATGTTTCAGGCTTGTTGCAACAGAAGCTATAAACAAGGAACGATTGAAATGACCTGGGATTATTTGGTCTGCAGCCAACCCATAAAGGGTGTGTGAGTGTGTCATGCACTCATGCTCATGCTGTACCTCAATCGGTTTTGGGTTTTGCTTCATAGCGAAAACTGTGGTTGCTTGTGGGGAGCATGGCTTACAATTGTTTTGAAATATAAAAACGCTGTGCACGAATGCTACAAACTGAACAGCTACTGTGATTACGCATAATCGGGAAGTGCCAGTAAAAGATTAAAATTATCATTAAAAGGAGAGATACTGACATGAAAGGTTAATGGCCCATCATCGTCTTAGATTTAATTCCATAGAATAATTTGGACATGTAATGTGCCACCAACGCAAGTATGTTTTCAACTTTTCATCACAGAATGATATGCATGACCAAAAATATCAAGGACAGTAGGATGCAGTCATGGAGTAATGCCAACTTAATGAATAAAGTGAGCGCCTTAATCACAGACCTGATAAAATAGTTGGCAAAATTTTGTGTCACTTGTACTGCCTCCTCGCTGTGTGGAATCATTTGTTTACCAAACTCAAAAATAGCTTTCTGCAGTATGCAAACAAACTTATCATGGTAAAAAGGCATCATTTACCCAAGTGCTGAGAATCAGATAAATTACAGAGGAGAACATTTATAAAAGGAAATATTGAGTAGCACATTAATGCATAATCTTTAGAAATGTTGTATATTTTGGAGATGGAACAAGTTAAAATATAAAACAGTGATTCAAAAATGCCATACACTTCAAGTTTAAAACAGAGTAAGACCCAAACTTGGTAGGTGGCTTCACTACTCTGGGTACCCACCATTCCAGCACAAGAGACTAAAAATAGTTCCACAAATGTCAAATAGTGATAAGTATGATTGCAAAATGGGCTTATCCTGTCAACTGGGTAGCAGATAAATATTCAAACTTCAAGCATAACCAGTAGCACTATGGTCAGCATACCTCAGGATGCCACTGAGTGCATGTGATAGGATATTTGTTTGCTTGCACGGTTGAGACATAGACCTGATTTTCCAAATGAAAGGAAATTAGTTTGTTGTACCTTAAAGGAACTGGTGATCCTTCAACGAGATCAGAACACTGGAGATCTAGATGACAGTTGTCCTTTTATACCACTTAATACCACCACAGAATCAGATTAGATAAATACAGACTATTTAAGTGGCAGGATAAGGAAAGAAAAGATAACTATAAATTTACTTGAGAGACAAAAGGACCTTCATTAATATATTCTTCATGCAGGAGATAAAATAAAAAACGACTACATTTTGTACCTCGCCATTTTCATCAGGTGAGGTTGTCAGAATCTTGAAGAAACTTGATAAGGCAACATTCTCTCGCAATGTCTTGGGTGATATACCATACTTTGACCAGTTGAGAAAATAAACCATGTTAGGAAAATTAACAAACTAGAGAGTAAGGATGATTATTCTACATAGAAAGAGTTATTCTGAATAACCACCCATGATATATATCATGTTTAAGATTTCACAGGGAGTTGATTTAAAAAAAAATTGAAAATAGAATGCAGGATTTTACTCACTTTGTGGTTTTGCATCACAAGACAACTGGTGCTTAGTTTCTTGATGAGATCAGGATCAAATCTGTGAATTTAGATAATGTTCAATACTTAATTCCACTATTATAATTACAGATTAGCCAAAGCAATAACATGGACAGAGAACACCAAAATGGCCTATATATATTACACTCAGTTGCAATTTATCTTGTGAAAAAGAAATTACTAACCTATATAAGATGGGACAAAATAAAGTATGAAATCTCCAAGTGCCCATCAAAAAATAACAAGAAAGGTTGCATTAGCATTCAACACATACCTTTCAAATACTGATCCCTCAAGTGAAGAGTAATTGGGAAATTGAAGAGTAGATGCTTGATTTGTGGCACTGAATGACTCCAAGATATTATTGTCCTAATGTCATAGCAATAAGAAATATTATTTGCTGGTTATTGGCAAAAAAGCGGGATGAGAAACAAGTATACTTGGCCTCTTCAGGAAAATAATACTGTAGTCATCGATTCACTTCTTTACACAAGGCATTAGAAAAGATTCTTTCTGTAACATCTAACTGACCATTTCCCTCAACAAGACATCTATTTAACCTAGTAAGGCTATAAACAATCCAGAGTCCCCTCGCCCCCTCTTTGTTGTGTAGAGTCCGAAAAGGAGTGAAATTACCTTGCTGACAATCATGCTTACAAGCTCAAAACCAAGACACTGTGCAAAAAGTGGAAATGGAATCCCTGCATCATTCTTGTCCAAGACATACTAAAAGAGAACAAAACAACGAAAACTACAATTAGTCCTTCCATTATGTGTGGGTTAGGATAAATAAGGTAGATGTAATGAAGTTGTGTTGCGGCACTCAGATGGGATATGTTATAGTACAAATAACAAGAATAGAAGAGAAGAATGCATCAGCTATGAATCAGAACGTGATGCTCAAAAGGTACCTGAAACACTTTCTTTATGGTCTCAAAATATGGGCCACTCTTCACCGAACCACCAGTAAACAGAACACCGTTAACCAAACTCAGTTTCTGTTGTAGAAAATGCACAAGCAAAACCATGAGGAAGTTATTTCATGAAAAAAGAAAACATAAGTAGCATGTAAGCAGGGCCACCAAGTACTTCACAATTGGCCTATTTCAGGAGATGATGTGTTTGCAAAAGATAAGCAAAGATGTATGGTAACCTAAAACATGACAGGCCAACTATTCCAGACAGATCTGAAGTACCCAAATGATTCCAAAGGTTCGTCCTAAATAATTGGCATAACCAAGTATTTAAACAATTCAGCTAAATTCACATTTGATATTGACAGTTCAGGCATCCACATATCAATCCATGCTCAATGAGGTTTCCAACCAACTACGACCTGATAGGCTGAAGAAAAACCACAAGAAACTAAAAAACAATCCGGCTGGTTCAGCATCCAGCTCAACACAAGGAGCGAGACTAATGATAGTGAGCAGTCAGATAGCATTTTACGAGACACAAGCCTTAAGAGTTTTGCCTCCTCGACAATTTGGAATAATCTATGGAATGGTATAAAATAATTAACACTGATAAACTTAAAATATACTTTGGCAGTTGCTTAGAGAGGATCACTACACCTGTTTGTTTCCCATTTGAATGGATTAGCACCAATTCTTCAAAACGCAGGGGAATGCAATGTAGTGGCGAACACATCACGAAGAATTTTCTAGACAATGACGAATTGACGAACATAGCACGACTCCACGCGCACACATTTGGAAGCGGAACGAAGAACGGGAGAAAGGGGGGAAGGGAGGGAGTCTCACGGACCTCGAGGAGGCGCTCCTCGGGCTCGTTGTAGATGAGCGGGACGACGCGCGCCCCGGCGGACTCGACGAACTTGACGTAGGAGGCGGCGATGTAGGAGGCGGCCGTGCCGTTGCTGACCCTCCCGCCCGCGCCGTCCCCCGGGTGCGACACGATGCCGATCACCGGCCGGTCGTACGCCGCGGGGTCCGTCGGCGCCGCACACGCCCTCCCCCTCGGCAGCCGGATGACCCCCTCCGCCGCCGCCGCCGAGCGGTGGAGCACGGCGGCGACCGCGAGGAGGAGGAGCAGGCGATGGGGAGGAGGAGAACCCATCGCTGCTGCTCCCGTGCGTGAGGAGTGCGTCTCACGCGACGCGAGATGTGAGGAGGAAGGAGAAAGTTGTTGGTGGCAAAGTGAGACGAGATAATTATCTGAGATATGCAAATGACGCATCGGTTTGAGATTATACCTTTTTAATTCGTGAATCGTGACCAGCGTGTAGTAATCAATTGGAGATAGGGACATGCCAATTATTTGATCTCGGTCCGTTTCAAAATAAATTCATCTTACTCCTCCTGTTTGTTCATAAGTAGATTTATTTTTTATAATCACTGTATGAAAGTGTGTAGAAGTAAGAAATAAATATATCAATAATAGATAAATAATTGTATTGGGATTTGAGAATCTGATCATTTTTTGTTTGTATTTATGTGTTGGATGGGTGAAAAATAATTTTTTTAATGATGGAGGGTGTAGACATAAAAGAACTGATGAAGAAAACGATAAGTAAATCAAGGAAAATAACAAGCATGTACAAAATCTGTTGTCGTGGACTTATGGTAGAGGATTTTTTTTCATTTTTTGGAGCCTTTTAATTTTAAATTTTAAAAATAAACCATTTCAAAATTTATTTCTAAAATTCGAACCTTTTATGCCAGCCCACCTAACGCGGCAAAACAGTACTAACACGCCACCTACGGTGGCCGTGACAGTTTTATCCTGTTACACTAGCGAAAGCGACGTGACCAAATAACACTGTCACGCCAACGAGGGTAATGTGGCCAAATAACACTGTCATGCCAACGAGACCAGCGTGACAATATTATTTTGCTACGTTAGTTTGGTTTGCATGACTAAAAGATTCACATCTTAAAAATAAGTTTTAGAAGAATTTATTTTTAATATTAAAATTAAAAGGTTCACAAAATTTTAAAAAATTCAGGAGGATCCTACGCAACTGTCCCACGACATGATAATTGATATGTGGGATCTACCATCCACGGTCCCATATGTTAGTGAACTTATTTCTCTCTAGTTTTGGTTGGAGGATCTTGTTCAGGTTCCGAAGGGAAAAAATTCACAAGAGATCTACTATATGTTCTTCTTTATTCATTTTTCTCCAAAATTTTTCAAATTTCCTCCATTTTAAAGGAGGCGTCAGTCCTGAAGCAGCAAGTTCTGAAGGTGCAACGGTGTACTAGCAGATATTTCATTCGTCCAGGATGATTGACAAAACAAAGTTAATTACACAGATGCAGAGGTAACTGCACAGCAAGGACAGTTCAGTTATGCAAACTAGACCCTTATTAGGCAAGGTTTAGCGAGGCAGACAGACACACATAATAGCAACTGAATTAGGCAGCCTTCTTCATCTCCTCCTTGATGGCAGCAGCCAGCTGATCGTACGCCTCCTCCCACGCCCCCTTCATCTCCGGCGACCACATCTCCGGCACCGCGTCCTTGATGGTGTCCAGCAACGCCGTCTTCACCACCTGCATTTTTGTTCCCCCATATCTGCAGCATAAGTTCATCGCAATGTACTTCATGAAATTAACCTATGCAATCTACCGGCCCAATCGCTTGGCTTTTTTAAAGGAATAAACCAAACAGCATATTTACAAACTAAAAATAATTTATAAAGAAAACTTTTATATACGTATTCTTAACGATTTAAAAGCAAAAGCTGAAAAATAAATTTCAACGAGAAAACCCTAAAATCAACACCAAATTTAATATTGAAAATTCAAATTTTGGCTACTATGCGAATCTTGATATATAGTTTCTGGTGTACCTCGAAGTACGCGTCGGCGACGCCGGCTTTGACGTGCGTCGCGCCCAGCCTCCTCAGTGTCGCCTCCCTCACCTTCACGTCACCCGTCTTCCTCAGCTGTGTCGCCGACTCGCATGCCTGAAGCCGGAGCATTGCATTGCAGCCATGGTTATAGTGAGATGAGGATATGCAGAGAGTGGAAATGGGAGAGAGTGTGTGTTTTTGCTTGCCATGACGAAGACGGTGACGGCATGGGCCTTGACCTTCGGGTGGTTCTCGAGGGGCACGTCGTCGCCGGAGTCACGCAGGAACGAGAACATCTGCTTCGCCGCCGGCGCGATCTCGAAGATCCTGACAATGGGAGAGAGAGAGAGAGAGAGAGAGAGAAAGAAAATGCAGGTTCAGATACTTCAGAAATGCGATGCAATGCAACTCTGTTCATGGCGTCTCACAATCACGACGTAAATGGGTACAGACATGAGACATGGACGATTATCATATTGGTGCATTGCATATAGTGATTAAGAACACGTAATTAACAGGTAGCGATACTGACAGAAGTTGAACCCATGGAGTCAGCTGAATCATCCTGACCGATAGTGAAGATGGAAGTTCACCTGAGGAAGAACTTGAGAGCAATGGATTCAGAGTCCTTCTTCATCGATTGCCATGAGCGAAGGACAAGCTCTTCCTGCGTCTCGCTGAACCCCATTTCTCGATCAATGTGTTCCTTTTTGTTAATTTGGTGTGATCATCTACATTGGGATGCATTTGGTTTAGTTTATATAGGCAGCTAGCAGGGTGGCTGTCCAGCGTGTGAAGAAGCTTAGAACCTCATTTTGATTATTTTTAATTAGCTGTGGCTCTTTGAACGCGTGTGCAGGCAAGAGAGACATCTGATCTGGAAAAACTAAGCTATCTGGATGATTCTCTCGATACATTGGGGCGCCCCTAATGCTCGATTAGTCGCGCGCGGTCGCACGGGCGCGCGACCACTAGATCCACTACTACTACAACTCATACACTACTACTGCTACTGCTACTATATATATATATATATATATATATATGTATATACTTTGTATACATACATATAAACTTTATATTATTGTATACGTACGTATAAATTTTGTATTAATAATATAAATTTTATGTATATGTATACAAAGTATATACATACGTGTATATATAATTTTATGTGTACCAAAAATTGATGTATACAAAATATACACATATACAAACTTTATATACACGTGTATAAACTTTGCATACGCGCATACAAACTTTACATACACGTATATAAACTTTGTATACGTGTATACAAACTTTGCATATATGTATACAAACTTTGTATACGTACATATTAAAAACCAAGAGAAAAAAATATGAATACAAAGTTTGTATATGTATGAATACAAACTTGGTATAGACATGAATACAAACTTTATAACACGTACATCTTAAAAAAAAGGGGGGGAAACCAAAAACGGAAGAGAAACGAAAAAAACAAAAAAAAAGACGGAAGAGAAACGAAATAAACAAAAAAAAAAGGGAAGAGAAACGAAAAAAAACAGAAAAACAGAAGAGGAAGAAAAAAAAACAGAAAAATCGCTCCTCAGTCACGGCGCGCCGTCGGCTGCCCTCTCCGCGCGCGACACGTGTTCAGTCGCGCGGGAGAGACCGCACGCGACTAGCCGTCCATTAGCTTTTTAGGCTGGGGACGCCTTGGAAGATCGCATCAGGTTGTCTTTCTTTCTTTCTTTCTTTCTTTAGTTCTTTATTTATATTGCAAGATCATTACGTAGTATTCCATGCTACATGATGAACGCATATGCATGGTGGCCCATATATATGACCGTATCTCACTGCCTGATTGATGGAACTTTGACAGCTTCTAGTACAGATCAATCAGTGTTAAACTCCGTCCCATACTCCCATTCCCATATATTTGCCTGTGTTCTGTATGCTAATAGTATATTGGAATGATTCAGGATTTATTCTGTGGAATAATTCATGATTTCTGACTTACTGTTACTAGTAAGACAATGGTAATTGCCAAGTTCTTCTGCTATGATGCATCCATTGAACTACCAATCAGATATGTACTTGATAGTGCAATGACAACGGGTGTGTGGTTTCAATCTTGAGGTCCCATGTTTAATTCTTAACACGCTCACAAATTTATTCTTAAAAATTGTTTGGAGGGATGTCTCTCCCTCCAAATCTTGTTTTTTTTAACTACCAATCAAGGAATCAACACAAGAAAATATGTTCACAATTTCTTCTTAAAATTTATTTGTTGGAGGGACATCTCTTTTTCCAACTCTCGTTTTTTTTTTGTTTGGTGAACTACCAATCAAGGAACCAACACAAGAAGCTAAAAACAAAACTCACCAGTAGCTATAGTATATGCACTATGCAAGCTATATCGATTTTTTTTTTTGAAAGAAAGAACTGTAAGTATCAATTTATTTATTTTTTTTGCCAAAACTCATCAGATCAATACATGATTTTGTCAGCAACAACCTGAGGAAGAACTTGAGCGCGATGTCGGCCGCGGGCTCCCCCTTCATGGCATTCCACGCGCTCAGCAACGAGCTTCTCTTGCTCCTCGCTGAAGGTGGCAGCCGCAGCCGCAGGAGGATCCTCCTCCACGACCACGGCCGCAGGCGCGGCGGCGGTCATGCTCGCCGCCGGTGCATCGCTGCTGCTGCCGCTGCTCATCTCGTCCTCCTCTCCGACAAGGAAGGCAGCAGAGAGCAACCTATCGACGTCTCGAAAGGCCAGGATAGTGGGCACTGCGACTCTGCGAGTGTTGCATTGTATCCAGCAGAGAGAGGTTTGATCACCTCATCACCTCACCAGGTAGCAAAAGGCCAAGATTTCGCTGGATTGACGTCCGGATCCATGGATGGCTCACGATCAAAGGGATACGGCTGCCGTTATCGGCAAAGGGCAGAGAATATCTGCAAGTACAGACAGGCAACACCGACAGCAGAAGCATGCAACCGAGCCTTCTCCTTGAAACTTTCTGAGTAAATTTCGCAAAACTATGTATACTTGTACCAATCATAAAACTAGCAAGACCGTGTATCATATGGTTTTGTGATAATTTGATAAAAATATCTGTATTTTTGCAAAATTTACTACAGCATTTTCCCTTCAGTTTCACTGGATCTTACTTGCACGAAATCTTTAAAAATCGATGGTGGATGTTTTATTTTTTTTCTTAGAACTTCTAGGACTTATTTAATTTATTAAGTGTCATGTAGCAATTTAGGAGCGTTTTTAGGATCTCCACGTGCCGGTTCAAGAGCGTTTTATAGAAAGTTTAATGGATTTTTAGTATATAATAGATCTTTGTATCCTTCGGTTTCACTTATTCTCACTTGCATGAAATCTTATTAAATTTACATAAAATTTCACATTGTTGACGCTATAATCAAATCCAAATCATTCAATTTTTTAATTTCCCTTTTTGTTTTGAACATCAATTTGCCCATTTTATGTCTGTCAATTTGTCCATTTTTTTTTGTTTGAGATAGGAAGAGCAGAAGCTAATTTAGAGCAGAGGAGAGGAATGGGCCGCCCAGCCCGGCAACCAATTTAAGCCTGCAACACCGAGGCCCATAAGGCCCATATGCCCTCGCTCTCAGCACGCGAGGCCTCCGATAGCGCGCCGCCGTGTCCGAATCGCGGATCGGATTTGGGCTTCCGTTGCCGGCGGCGCTAGGGTTTTGGAGAGGAGGCGAGGCGATCGGAGGCGGGGGATCGGAGAGCGATGGCGCTGACCAACTTCATCCTGACGGTGGTGGGCGTGGGCACGGCGGTGCTGCTGCTGCGGAGCGACGTGAAGCAGTCGGCGTCCATCTTCCGCCGCAACGTCCGCCACATCCGCAAGTGGCTCGAGGAGGAGTCCGCCGCCGCCGCCAAGTACGGCCATTTACCTCCGCCTCCTCCCAGCTTTGTCTGCTCTCGCCTCTAACTACATGTCTTAGCTCATGATCTCCAGCCTCCTTTTGCTAACTGCGCGTCTAATTTGATGCCCAAGTTCGACTGTATTTGAATTGCTGATGGCTGATTTTTTATTTTTGTAGTTAACGAAATTGCTAAAGTAGAGTTAGTACAATTCTAGTGCAATCATGTTGAGGTAATTCCAGTGAACTAGAGGGATCGGACTTGATAATTAGTACTCTTTTCCAGTTTCCGCTTCCTATGAATCCCCAATCCAGTTGATAGTTAGTACTCTTTTCCAGTTTGCGCTTCCTATGAATCCTCAATCCGGTGACATGTGTGGTACGCAGCCGCCACCAAGTACGGCTGTTTAACTCTGTCTCCTCCTAGCTTATCTGCTCTCGCCGCTAACTATCTGTCGTAGCTCATGATCTCCCGTGCCCTTTTGCTAAGGTTGCGGCTAATTTGATACCCAGGTTCGACTGTATTTGAATTCTTGCTGGCCCTTTTTTTTGTAGTTATGCAAATTGCTGAAGTAGAGTTAGTAGAGTTCTACTCCAATCCTGTTGAGGTAATTCCAATGAACTAGAGGGATCAAACTTGATAATTAGTACTCCTTTCTAGTTTGTGCTTCCTATGAATCCCCAATCCAGTACATGTGTGGTCATCTGCGGTAGCATATTGTGTATGGATAACATGGAATCGAATGAGAATCAACCTGCCTGTCTAAAGAAGTATCATGAGGTGCCAATGCCGCGCAAGAAGTGATATGTTCTGATTTCCTATACAGTATGTAGAATCTTGTTATGTGGTTGTCAAGTGACGTGCTGCTTATTCTACATGCTCAATTGTCAACTCTGTGGCTACAATCAATTTCTGCACCAGTGGATAAGACCTCTACTTATGCTGCACATTTCTCTTGTAGATTGAATGTCCTAGATTCACAGCTGTAAGGTTCTTAACTCGACATGTCGACATCTTGGCTTGCAATTTGTATCTCTCTATGTCACACTGTAAAGTTGTGGGCTCTTTCACTCCATGTTTTTCCATGTTTCACATTTCGTCAATCATACCTGTTGGAGCTAAAATACCAGCACATGGGGTTAACTCATAATTCTTATTTTCAACTTAGTAAACTTTCACAGTTTTATACTTTGTCTTTCAGATGCTAATCTATTTTCTGTTTCAAGTTCCTTTGTGAAGAGTGGATAGCTCACTAGCTTTTTTTTTCTTTCACACGGTTCTACCCATTGGAGTGTTTTGTTATATCATTTATGGCTTTGTCAAGGGTGCATAAATTGCTTTGTGGCTTTACTGTATATTTGGTTAGTTACGATGGATTCTAGATCAACTAATCAACTTCATCCAAGCTAGCCAGATTTTGATTTCGTGTGTTGCCATATGCTCCTCAACTTTTGGATATTATAAGACCATGTCATTGTTGATAATGCCAACAGTAGTTGAGTAGCCCATTAACTTCATGTCTTGGTCTTTTTAGCTCTTATCTGTTTTTTTATAATGCTATTGGGTTTGGGTATTTCCTACCTTCCTGGCATAAAGGCTTAACTGACTGATTTCTCTTGTAGCATTTTATATATATCATTGCTGAAATCAGATTTTGCTCTTTGAATATGAGAAGAAATCAGTTTACTAAGCTTATGTGCTAGAGTCTGGTTAAAATAGAAAAGCTTATGTGCTAGAGTCTGGTTAAAATAGAAAAGCTTATGTGCTAGGGTAACATTAGCAGCAGTTGGGATCTGCAACTCTTCCATGGTTCCATGTGTGCACTATCTCATAATGGTGTTCAGGCATTTGTGGGTTTGACTTTGTGATGCATTTTGTTTAGCCATTACATTTTTATCGACACGTTATTTTGGGCTTCGTTGAAAAGCTCTGGTAAATGTAAGTCAATGCAACACATCTGATCTCCGCCTTCTGCTGTATCTTCTTTCATTTCTGCAGACCTGCTGAGCGGGCTGCACCTAAGGAGCTGGAGTCCCAGGCTGCAAAGAAAGATGTTACCCCCAAAGATGATAAGCATTAGATGATAGTATTTCACTTTATGTTCTTGCATAATGTAGTGTTGATGTGGGAGCTAGAATTCCGAGGTAGCACTTGTGAAAAATTTTTAGTAGGATATTCAATCTTGATGAGAATTTTACTCAATAAACTAGGACAAATGGGTAGCTAAATGCATGTGATTTGTACTTGTTTATTAAGGCTTTGGACATGAAATATATCACATATGGAGGGGCTACTGACTACTGAGTACAGTTTGAACAACTGAGAGCATTTCATATTTCTGCTTGTTATCATATTTATCCGATGAGATCAATCGACAAGTCAGTAACCAAAAGTGTGACTTGTCTATCCATGTTTTGCTGGCACCATTTACCTGGTGATTTTGTCATTTTTTATGTAAATTTAGCTACAAGTTGCCATGTGTGCTTATCAAAACATGAATGTGCCTACTTGTTTTTATTACGACTAGATTTGACGTTGTTGAGTCACATCACGTGTGGTTAGTCCTAATCTCTAAAATTATACTGTACTACATTGTTGCTTAGTGTACTAACTCTAGATTTAGATTAGTCCTAATTTCTAACATTATATTGTTGCTTAGTGTACTAACTCTAGATTTAGATCTAGACTGCGCTGGTTCTTAGTCAAATTCTAAACTTATTATCGACGGCGGCACACAAAAATTCGTAATTACAGTACGAGTTTAGTACTAGTCACTGAATGTGGGCCCTCGTATCCGTGTCTCGATCTGGGCCCCACCTGTCAGTGTCTCATCCTAGGATGCAACTCCGGAGGCGAGGCGTCCAATTAATCCGTTCATCTCCCGCGACGCGATGCTTCTCGTCGGCAAAAGTATATTCCCCCCCAGCTTCCTCTCTCCGGCGCCGCTCGCCGCCTCCGACTCACCGGCACGACCGCGCGGCTCCACATGGACGCCGGCGACCAGTCGCCGAAGGAGGTGTACTCCGTGTGGGCGCTCCCGCCCGAGCCCGTCCGCGCGCGGCTCCGCGGCGTCATGGCCGGCCTCCGCGCCGCGCACGGCGGGCCGGCGTTCGAGCCGCACGCCACCGTCGTCGGGGCCATCCGCCTCCGCCGATCCGCCGCCGTAGAGGCGCTCCGCGCCGCCGCCGCCGGCGTCCGGCCCTACACCGCCCGTGTGGTCGGCGTCGCCCGCGGTGACTTCTTCTACCAGTGCATCTACCTCCTCCTCGAGCCCACCCCCGAGGTACCCCTACTACCCACTAGGCAGCCTTCCCCTTCTCCTCCTAAGCTTTTTCCTAGTTTTAGGAGTGCGACTCGAGAGCTTAATGGATTCAGAGGTGTGATCGATCATGTCGGTGCCATCGTTTAGTTTCGAACATTTTTGTTGGCGTAGCTCGGATCAAATGTCTGTACAGTGTGCATCATATTATCTGAATTTTTCTCAGGTGGTGGAAGCGAGCGATCATTGCTGTGGCCACTTTGGGTACGAGAGATCAACCCGTAAGTTAGCATCTAGCAGAAAATTTTTTTTGTCTACTAAAGTTCTCAGGTTGGTGATGGATTGATGATTCATGATCTGCTTCATTGCAGCATATATGCCACACGTCAGCCTCTTATATGGAGACCTGACAGATGAGGAGAAGGAGGTAGCAAGGAAGAAGGTAGAGGAGATAGACAAGGAGATTTGTGGATTGCAGTTTGAGATCTCCGAGCTTGCGCTGTATAGGACGGATACCGAGGACAAAAGCTTGGAGTCATGGGAATTGGTGGAGATCTGCCACCTTGAGAGGAAGTGATTAATCTCCTCCCGTTGGTGCTTCTGCCATAAGTTAAGTTTGAGGTGAGTTTGTTCAATAATAAAGCTTGCCCAAATGCAAAGCGATGCCTAAAATTTAAGTTTTGAGTTATTCCTACTGTAAAAGTTACATATATACATATATATCTTGGGTTCTTCCCAGATAATATTTGTCTTATTAATTATCTGTTGTACTGATAACTGAGTTATGTCATAGACAAGCTCTGATCAACTCTTAATGTGTATGCCACATTATCATCACATTTAGAGATGCACTCTAAATATATAGTGCTGCATATAGAGATAGTACAGTGCGTTCTGTATATATAAGCACATAATTTGTGATGGCTATATTTGCTAGTACTTCTCTTAAGGGCCTTCAGGCGCAAACTTTCTTCCACCCCATCCTGCCTCCCTTTGACAGTTGAAGTATGTGGCAGCCACGATGTTGAGGTGGTGTTGGCGTGCAAAAATTCTGCAGTTGAAGTTATGTCGTTTTTCCGGTGCAAAGACTGTCCGCCTGCCAAGTTGGCGGAACAGCACAAATACCATCCGATGGATGCCTGATCTTGGCTCTGGCTTCTCATATAATATTAACTCTTCGCCTGCAGGGTCATTCGGGCACTTTGGATTTATGAAGTTCTCGACTATAAGCATAAGACAGTTTATTCTCTTCAAATGTAGGTTGACTCATCCATATTTCCATATATGGTGCAGTTGCCTCTTTTGATATAGACAAATACAGCTCTTATAGATATAGAAATATGTGTTTAAGCCATAGGAGCAAATTTTTGTTCCAATATATAGGGCAACCTTTTACTCCAGTGTATGGTAGTTAGAAGCAAAATCGCATATTACAAATACAAAAATCCTCTAAATACCACAAATAAAATGAAACCACTTGGCATGTGAGAGAAGTAAATGCGGTAGCATGACACTATTGTAAGTGTTTGAGTAGCTTATTTTACAACTCCGATAAAAAGCATACAAGAATAATCTGTTGAGATTTTACTGAAGTTAAATGGTACCAGACTTTGCGTAAAATTATAATGATTTTTTACTGATGCACTCACTGCAAGTAAAAAGTGTGCAACTCGAGTAAAACTTTATGTTCCATGTAGCGAAATACAAATCCTTAGGCATTCCAATATATTATAAGCCCCCATTCTATGTATTGTTGGTCATCAAAGAATGACCCGTTGTAAAATTCTTTCTGATATATTTAGCTTCATTAACATGGATACTTGCCACTATAAACTTTTATCAGATTCTGAGCTCTTGTGTACCATTAAGAGGAACTGTTTTTAAAACAGTTTAAATGCACCTAGTATCTTTGTTACTCATTTAAACAAAATTAAGGCCTTGTTATGTGATTGTGATCTATAATTAGTGGCCCCTAGTTGTGTCTTTGAGGGAATCAAGCTTGTTATAAAAGTTGTATATGCATTAGTGTCACCTGACAGCTTGTGTAACATTCAGTTTTTATTCCTTGATATCCTAGTATGATTTAGTGGTAATAACATGTTTGAGCCTTTGCGGAACATAACCTGCACAGTGACAAAATTAACTAAAAAAGAAAACCACATCAAACATCCCTTTGCTATATAAACACATCATACCAAAGCTGATGGAAGTTGTTTCAGGGATATCTGTTACCATCCTACAAAAAGTACAGTTGCATCATAAATAACGAGAGCAGACTAAAAATATATGTATATATATATATATATATATCAAAAGTCAAATGCATGGGTCAAAAAAAGAATGGTGTAATTTGCCATAATTGGTCATAGCTGCAATATGTTGTGATTGGTTTACCAGTGCAAGTACTCCCTCAGCGATGGGTCACTTGGGCTTGGGGCATCTGGATCCACCAATACCTTTTTTAGGTGAAGGTAAACGGGTTGTCATGCAGGTAGGTTGTATTTTGCTAGTAAGTATTCTTCATAAAACTTAATAGAATAGACTAGAAATTTCTCCCAAAAGAGCTTTTAAAAAATCCTACCAATAGAGATTGTAATATTAGTTATAAAAGAAACAATAGGATTGACATATATTGTTCCCTTTGATAGCTATATCTTAAAACCACCTAGCTTACCAGTGTGTAGGAAACCCTCATGTCATTGCCACCAACATCAACCTGTGGCTTGCTTACAACTGCAGATGGTTTAAGCGCTGCTCCTGCCAGAAGTAGCCTGCTGTTGTAGGTTACTCTGAGTGAAATGGTTGAAATAAATGGATCCAACACATCCGGTATGATCTGAGATAGGTACAAAGGATCCATTGATCTGTAGGGCTAGCTAGCGCACTATGAGTCGGGGTAACTAGTATCCAAGCATAAACTATTTATATGGTGAATGATGAGGGTTGTCTTGTACATTCACCTTTCAAAAGTTAGACATCATGTGATGCGTCACCCATACGAAACTGTTTCTTTGAATTGGTATTCATATTTGTTGATTAGATTATGGGACCTATGGATTAGTCATGCATCAGATTTCTTTGACCTCTAAGGTTGAGCTACCCTGCCCATCAGAGATTGGTAGCATAGTTTGTGTCTACTGGAGCAAGCTTTAGTGGTTAGCACAAACAGCTGTTCTTTTGGTCATATCCTCTCATTGCAGACGACAAAGATCATGCTTCATAACTTAATTGTATACTTGTGTCGAACATTGGGGTGTACTTAATGTGTTCTGATTCTCACTGCAACACCGTATCTGAGCAGTAGACATCTAGGAATATTTTTTGCCTTGCCTTTCTTGCATCTAATGCATTTGTAGAAAGTGTCTGTTTATCCTTTTGCGAACACCAAGGAACTTAAATAGCTTATTTACTTAAGTTATTTTAGGGGTTACACAATGGTACTTTTTTTAATAGGCACAATGGTACTTTAGGAGCAAGACAAATGTATAGCAAGTTTGTTGCGGCTCATGTGCGATGAGCTTGTGCTGTAACATTTATTTACAAGGTGGATTGTTTCTATTATTTGGACCTGTGAAATATCATATGACAATTTATTTTGGAACATGGACATCATTCTTTTGTTATTGTCAAAAAAGTGAGATCGCTGTGTGCATGTTCCCAAGGCTCAAAGTTAGTTTATGTGTTATGTTGCTTGATCGCTGTCATATTTTGGCACCATCTTGTTTCTATTTCATGTTTCTTTTTCTTCAGTATGCAAATGGCATTCTTCAATATGTACTCTAACATCACTGGAGTTTCTGCTGCACTGTTTGTTCCCATATTGACTTGATTAGCATGATTTAAGTTTCCACAAAGTGTAGCAGTAAAATGCATCATTTGCTTCATCATGCATGAGTAAAAATTGGCTTGATTGCCTGCGGTTTATCTTGTACGCTACCCGCATAGGGTCTCAATACAGGTTATTAACTACTTTACATATATTTTCATCGGGCACAAAGGAAAAAAACAATTCAAGGTTGTCATTTGGAAGTCCTGTACCACTTTCTTCACTTCAGGATAAGGATTCTATTTCTACCATTTGCTAGGAAAGCAGATTCTTCTTGTACCTTCTTCACATGGAGCAAAAAATGACCCGAGGATTCTAGTTACTTCCTCTGTTTCAGACTATAAGTCGTTTTGACTTTAGTCAAAGTTAAACTGCTCCAAATTTATAGATAAACTGCTCCAAGTTTATAGATAAAAAGTCAAAACAAACTATAATCTAAAACGGAGGGAGTAACGTTTTTTGAAGGCACATGCCTGATTTGATTGTCAGATGCTCAATACTATAATGCAAGGAAAGCTGTGCTCTATGGTCTTCAGTAACTTTGATATGCCAAAGAGGAGGACTTTTCGTCATAAAAAAGGTATTACACTACATACAAGGAAAAACTGAACAATCCTTTTTAAGCTTTTATTGAATGGACAATATTCGTCCTTTGATGTTTTCTTAAAGGGAGAAGGGAGGGGGGCATGTTATCTTTCTAGATGTTGCTATCACAGCTTTGATAATAAAAATACTATGACAGCTTCGATAATAAAAATACTATGTTATCAATCATGTGTGGTCATTGGCCAACCAGATGTTGGCCTATGCCATGTAACTAGAAATCGTCTCACTAAGATATGACCTCTTAACATAATGCTATATTTACTCAATTGCATGGAATTATGGTGTTAACTGTTTGTGTGATGTCACTGTTGCATGTATCAACCATACACTCTGTCATGTGTCCAGTTATGTTGCAACTAAACCAGATGGCATATAGGGGGGCTTTATGTCTTTTGCATGAGATTTGTGTATGACCGATTGATAAGCCCCAGTGGGGGCCTTAGTTTTGCTGCTGTACGAGGTTAGGACAAGATTTGGTCAAAACTTTTGAAACAACCATGGATAACTTCTTAAACACTATATAAAATCAAATAAAAATAATACTTGCAAATTTGCGTCGAAAATTATTAAGTTTGACCACCTTACCTTAAAGGTTAAATATTTATGATTAAAGGCTATATTTTGGATACGATCCACAGTAGCTAGCTGCCAGGTTTGGTTCTCGGATCTGAAGCATTGTTGTGCCTGGTCCCTCAAGATGGACTAGTGCATTATTATTGTTCTTCCCTTTCCCTTCTCCAATCATGTACCTCAGGTACAAGCCTGACTGTTCTTTTGCCATCAGAATAAACTTGCTCCCGTTTTGCATCTTAATTTGATTGATCTGGTAAGTCCCTATCACCTGATTTTTCTTTCCGATCAAGAACATTAGCTTATTTGCTATTTTGTTCCACATTATTATCAATATACAATCACCTTTTGTCCCGTTGAAATTTGTACTGTCATTGGTCTGGATAAAGTTCAAAGGTATCCGCATCTTTCATCTTTCATTGATCTAGTAAGTCGCTACTGCCTTCTTCCTGCTTTCAATCAAAAAAAGTTTGCATAATTGCCATCGTGTGCATCTTATATTTGCCGACATGCATGCCAAATTACTTTTTCTCTTCTCTTGGTATAATTTGTAAATTGCATAAATTGAATAAATGTGCGATAAAATTAGAGGTAGCACTTAGCACGATTTCTATGCCATTTCATGTTACGCACTTGCTCAAATATTTTCGGGGATGCTAAATGGAGGGGGGGATCCATCCAATCCCCTGAACGCGAATCGATGGAGAAAGCCAGAGGCGGACCTGCTCCTCCCGTAGCCCACGAGGTCGCATGTGATGGTCCGATGAAGGTTGTCCTGCTCCTTTAAGAGTTGACAAGGTCGCGAGGCTTCTTGTCGTCTCCGATGTACTCCTTCTCGCCTCCTAACCGTATCTTCCCTCAGGCCACCCGGACTAACTTGTAGATGAGGCCATATACAATGCGTGACCCTGACCTGTGGTCTCAAACCTCCACGTCGGAGCCGAGCCGAGCTGGCACATGTTTAGGTGGTCTCGCAGGCTGTCATCGAGCTTGCAGAAGAGCCAGTGCAAGCGTCGCGCCTGGGCTCGGGAGCCGCGAAGCCACAAGCCGAAGCCTCGCGTTGGAGGCGTCGGAGCCCCGCGCGTTGCCTCATCCGGTCCCCCCCGTGTTGTGGTCGTCGTCGCCTCGCCAGATCCATCGCAGCCGCCGTGGTCATCATTGCCAGATATGCCGCCACCGCTGCCGCCGCCGCCAAGCTCGCCACGCCGTCGGCGAGCTCGCCGCGCCGTCGTGAGGGGAGGAGGACGGCGGTGTCGAGGAACCACTGCCGCGTTGTGGCCCCCGCCGCCAGATCTGGCGAGCCGCCACCACCGCTGCTCCCCGCCTTCGCTAGATCCGCCCCCGCCAGAGCTCGAGCGGCGTCGATCTGCCGCCGGAGGCAAAGGGAAAAGAGAGGGCGGCGAGAGGAGGGGAGAGGAGAAGAGAACCGAGCGACGCTGTCGGTGCCTCGGTGGAGAAGAAATCGAAGAGAGAGAGAGGGGAATAAAAAAGAGAGGGGGATGGGAAGAGGCTGACAATGGGTCCCAAGTTGTTTAGGGGTGTACATATACTTCTTTTGGTTATTATAGGGTTCAAAATATAAAATTTCAATAGGTTTGATAATACAAGGGCTGACATATAAATAGATAGGGGCTGACATGCAAAATACGTTTTGGAGTGGTTTCCATTGTGGGTAGTGTGACCTTTATGTGGTTCCATTCTACGTGGCGTCTTAAAATCACAGTTGCTTGTGGCTATCATTGTACATGCCCTGAAGCGTCGTCTCCTTGCACAATGCTAGTGACAGACTTCTTCGGCAGCTGGTGGAGATCATGCGTCGAGCAACCTCAGGTTGCAAGGAGTACGCGGAGCATGCAGTGGAGGCTCCTCGTTGTCATCGACACAACGATGTCCTCTTCGTCTCCTGGTTTCTCCTCTCAGACCAGTCGAACCTACTCGCTGTCCTTGAGCTGCCCCGAGCACTAGCTTAAGTTTGGTACTCTACTTATCAATATCGTATTGGTATCCACGAGTATCAGGTGATATCAACATCTGGTACTAATAGGTAGCAGCAATACTTATCGGGTATTACCTAGTGGTACCTCGTAAGTATCATCTAATACATAGTCGGTATCATCTCGGGTATTACCTAGTGGTACCTCGTAAGTATCATCTAATACATAGTCGGTATCATCTCGTTTGGACAGGGCCCCGTGATATAGCAGTCCTCATTATTTTTACCTTTTTAGAACCTATACATTTAGGGATGGCAACGGGTCGGGTCGGCACAGGTAGAGCAAAACCATGCTCGAATCCCATGCCCATCGTCACCCGCCCAAATCCTACCCACTAGGGTTAGCGGGCAAAACTCTGTGCCCGTACCCATACCCAACGGGCACGGGTATATCCGTCGGGTACCCAATGGATCTTACAATAATAATAACTCGAAAGATATATAATTTAACAAAGAGAAATAAAATCAACAATTTACCAAATTATCAGTTATCAACAATAATTTAAATTACATCAGAACTTATTATTAGTTAGTATCACAAATGAACCAAGAGAAAGGGGTATAAGAATTAAGAGATAAGTCGAAATTAGCTAATACATATATATGTATTGGGTCGGGCATGGGTTACCCACATGTAAAAAATAAAACCCGACTATTGCTCACGATGTCTACGGGTCTCGGGCGGGCATGCCCACGGATAAAAAATCACACCCACGCCCGTGCCCATTGGGTCGGGTATCCGCGGATACCCGGACCCATGGGCAAAATTGCCATCCTATATACATGAAGCCTATCGTATGGATATTATTCAAATCCAATGTGATTTCAAGCACGATTTCTACGAACCTATTCTATGGATAAAACTAAGCCTAGTACAATTATTCGAGGACAAACAAATGAATTAAATACTATTATTGATTTGAAAAGTTCTTTAAGAAATTATGATGAAGTATTTTGTAATATCAGCATATTAATGGTAACTGCTAATGTCCATTTCTTCATAAGTGCTAATTTGATTTACCTTTCCACTTTAATTTAGGATACTAAAATATTTAAAAATAAAGTACGAGCCAATTAAAAATAATAGCCATATAAATATTCTTTTGTATACCCAAACAATTTATATGATTTACTATCCACGTAAAGTTACGTACTTAAATTTTACATATATTGTGATGATATTTTTCTCCATGGATCTTCATTTAAATTGTCCCCCCCCCCCCAACCCCTCAAGTCTAAATCATGGCTTTGCCACTGGCCGGACAGATTTTGGGGATATTTTGGAAAGGACCGAACACGAGAAGAGAAAAGGAATCAAGGGTCTATTTAAAAATTTACTAGTGTATGTGCGGGAGGTTTTATCAAAAGACATTCCCTTGCATTGCATCCGTCCGATGGAGATCAAATGGTCTATGTCGTGCGAGTGCATGTGTGTACCAAGGTGAGCGGGTACACATGATAGGTTGCTAGAGGTATTAGCTACTTTTAAGACCTTTTTATACGAAAAACAGAGAAAACAGAAAAGACATAGGAATTGAAGTATCATGTTTATTTAATTATATCCTACATAAATTGAAAACACTGTAAATAGGAAGAGAGAAATAAATTGAAGGAAAGTTTCCAAGATGTATTTTCCTATGAAATTAACCATATGAATGCAAACTCTATGGAAAATTTCCTATCACTTTCGTATGAATAAAAGGGTCCATCGGAAAAAAAAAATCAAAGGAGTTGAATGCTCCAAAAATCCTTTGTCAATCCTCTATTTTAGAGGGCCTTAGTGTTTAAATTTTATCCAAAATATACTCCGTCCATACACAAATATAAGGGACTTTAGGCTCTTTTAGAGAGGTTAAGTGCTTGTTCAGTTTGTAGGAAAAACAAATGATTAAAATTCCTAAGAATTGACTTCTATAAGTGTTCACTCAGTTTGTAGAAATGAACTAAAGGAAAACCAAAGATTTTTTTTCCTACAAGCTGTAGAAAGAAACATACAAAATTTTACATCAAATCAAACCTCTTGAAAAAATTTCTTCGATTGTTGGGTGCATGTATTACTGTTCCTTCACTTTTCCTATTTTTCTATTCATATGGGTTGAAATTCGTAATATGCCCTAAGGATTAAGAGATAAGACTAACATGCACCTATATTAAATGAGGGATAGTTGGGAAGACAAATAGAAGATGTCAAAATCCCTTATATTTGTACATGGACAAAGTAACTACTTCAAATAGTTTCTCTTCTTAACCGATCACAACCGTTTCTTAATTTTTTTTCATCTACTCTCTCATCTTAACCAATTACAACTACCACCTCCATCCCAAAACATAACAACTTCATATATAGGACCGAGTCAACTACCTAGTATTACGGATCTGAAAGGGTTGGGTGAGTATTAGTTAATCCATCTTCTTAGGTTGAGTTCTAAACAACTATTTGAAATGGTTACTTACTCATTCTCCGTAAGCATGTGTTCCCAAATTGTTAAAGGTGTGTTTTACGTAAAAGTTTTCTATACATAAGTTTCTTAAAATAATCAAATAAATCTATTTTTAAGTATATATCTACTATTATAAAAATTGAAGATGTTTCCGCAGTCCGTCATCCATGTTTGAGTCGATTATAAAAATTGAAGATGTTTCCGTGGTTCGTCATCCGTGTTTGAGTCGGTTTTAATCTGTATCTCTTCTCTATCTCTATCTCTACTATTATAAAAATTGAATATGTTTTTGCCAGTATTTTGGTACGTCATTCGTGTATGAGTTGGTTTTTAAGTTCGTTTGCTTTTGGAAATACATATCTGTATTTGAGTCAGTTTTTAAGATCGTTCACTTTTGGTAATACAGAAGGAATCATATAAAAAATATGTTTAAAAGAACTCACATGCTAACTTGAGACGATCAGACTCCTAACTGCAGCTCATGATTTCCTAAAAGTATATATATCCTAGCGAACTCCCACAGTAAATTTCATCTTAACTAAACCATATAACAATAAGATTAAAATAGACTTCACTCATTGCAACGCACGGGCATTTTTTCTAGTAATAATTAATATATGATTAATCGCATGCTAATTGTTAGCTTAGCTGGTTTCGTATGTTGTCAAAAATCTCGGCTAAAAAGGAAACACTAATGATGTGGTGGAGTCGTGGCTGCATATTTTTAGCCACCAGGGTTCAAATTTTAATGACCACGACTATTACGCACATACATGTAGACTTTCAACTGGATTTTAGTGGGATTAATGATATGCCGATGGTTCCCGTCTCTCTGAGCGTGTGTTAAAGAGCGTATTTGCTGAATATATGAGTGCGATGCTACGTGTATATTGATGTGTGTGTGTCTACTGCGAGTAAAATAGAATCATAACTAAAATGCCTTATATTCTCTCTATTCTAGAATAAGTTCATCTAATACGGGGTGTAACATATCATAATACTACTATGAATCTGAACAAACATATGTCTAAATTCATACGAATATGTCACATTTCGTACTGGATTAAATTATTTTGGACTTTCCCAAAATAGAACAACGTGGGATGGAATGTGATATAATATAGTACAATGAATCTGAATATAGGTTTGTCTATATTCGTTGCACTATACTTCGTCCCAATATAAGTACGTACTAGGATATGTTAAATTTTATAATAGATGTGCTTATATTAGAATGGAGGGAGTATTACATCAAATTTAGAATATTCTGGGACAAAATGGGTAAGCAAGTACTTCTTCCGTTCAAAAAAAATCAATCCGAGGTTTGAATCTGGACATATATGTGTCTAGGGTTAAATTGTTTTTTTAAAAAAAAATTAAGTATTTTTGTTTTGGATGGAGTAAACTTTTTTGACTCTGTGCCGTTGCCTGTTTTTACTGTGGCCCCACCACGCCCCCCGTCAATCCAGCCATGACAACCTGATCCGTCCACGGTGTAAAAGCGCGAGCAGCGGTGTCAGGCCGGCAGGTGCCTCTCCCTCTCCTCTCCCTCCCGGCCCACCGCGCACACGGCGCGCCCCCCCTCATGCCAACCCCACCACCGCACCCTCGCCATCATCTCACTCTACACACACACCGCGCTACTACTGTGCCTGCGTGCGTCGCTTGCAGCGACAAGCAGCAGCAGCAGCCGCGCCGCGCGTCGCGTCGCGTCGCGTCGCTTTCCTCTCGCGATGGCCGCCGCCGGCGTGCCATTCTCCATCCGGTACACGCGCGTGCTACTGCATTGCCCGGACGCCCCGCATTGCGCGGCCGGGGTGGGGTGGGGGTGGCGCACTGACCTCGTGTGCGGTTTTTTTTGTTGTGTTTTTTTTTTCTGAAGGGGGTACGCGGCGCGGGCGCGGGCGGGGGCGGCGGACGAAGGGGGGAGATGCTGGCCGTTCGCGGGGAAGGCGGGGGCGCTGCCGCCGATGGAGGTGAGGGGGTTCCGGTGGTGGGAGGACGAGGCCGCCGCGCTGGCCGAGGAGGAAGGGGAGGAGGAGCGGAGGCTGGCGGCCAAGCGGCGGAAGCGCTCCATCGTCGAGCTCTTCGCCGCCGTGCCCAAGGTCGTCGCCGCCGCCGACGAGGGGCTCGGGAGGGGGAAGCGTGTCAGGAGGAAGCTCGACAAGGGGGACCCGCCGGCGGTCGGGGTTGAGGCGGCGAAGAAGAAGGGGTTCAGGAAGCAGAAGGTTCTAGTTGAGATCGGCGTCAGAAAAAAAGTAAGGTTTCATACCACATTGCATTACCTACTTCAGTTAATTTCCTAATAATGTTTAGTATCTCTATAGATTGTTTGCTGCTCCATCCGTTTTATATTATATATCGTTTTGACTCTTTTAGTCAAACTTTTTTTTTAATTTTGATTAAGTTTGTAGAAAAATATAGCAACGTTTCTAACATAAAACAAACATATTATCAAAATATATCCAATGCTATATTTGGTTTTATAGATGTCGCTAAACTTTTTTTATAACCTAAAAAAGTCAAACCTAAAAAAGGTTTGATTAGGAAAAAAGTCAAATCAACTTATGATATTAAACGGAGGGAGTACTACTCAATACAACACCCTGAGAGGCATGGATGTTTCTTGCTCTTATCATTTAGCTGCAAATAAAACAGGCTTTGCATTCTGAGAAGTTCAAGGTATGCTTACTAACGTTGTACTTATCGAAGCCATGAGAGAAGTGATGGATTATAACACAATGACTTTCTGGGAATATAACACTGAGGAATCACAACTAAAAGTTGATGTGGGTCTCTGTTGAATGTGCTTGCACAATCCTACACTCGTGGGCGGTTGATTGGCTAAACCAGTAGTTTAGCCAGGCTGTAGGTTTCATGTACCGAACTGCAGTTTAGCTAAAGTTGGAGGTCCTGCTTAGATGTCCTTGTTGTCACCTTACATTTTAGCTAGAGTGGACAAGTGGCTATCAGATTCTTGTCGCCTTTATCTGTCTTGATATTCCAATGCTTTGATCCTGTTTTAAATTCACTCAAGCATTGTACTGCTTGTAATGGCAATATCTGAATTTCTATATATGTTACTATCTGGTGACTCCCATTTTCACAGTTTTCTTCTGTTGCTACTAGGCTTGTTTAGTACTCCCTGCGATCATAAATATTTGACGTTTAGGACAGGATTTGATCAAACTTTTGAAATTCCAACCATCAACTTTATATTAGAGTAAGTTTATAAAATCTAATATTTTTTGAGGTAAATCTACGTATATAATTCTGTTTGTTTTTAAACTATGGATTGGAGAAATTATTGATGGCCGGAATTTTAAAAGTTTGACCAAATCTTGTCCTAAACGCCAAATACTTTTGACCAGAGGGAATACACTGTTGTGCTGAACTACATCTCCATGATGATCTGTGCTTGTTTGTTCATTTCAGGGGAAAAATAGCAAGACAAAAGTCACCTCAGCTAGTATGTCGCAGTTGTTTCAAAATGCCATACAAAAGCAGAAGAAAAAATCTCTTAGCAAGAAAAAAGGAGTTCCATTGGAAAAGAAAAGCATGAAGGGAAACAAAACAACAACTTTAAGCAGCCAGAAGACTACAAAGAGTAGCTGTCATGTTCAAAGCATTCTTAAGAAACATTTGAAAACAGGAGTGGGCACACTACTAAAAAACACAGATGTTATGTCTCCATCAAAGTCTTTACTCAAACCAAAGCGTGTTACCTTTTCTGATGACAATGACATACTTGGAAGGACAGACTCCCAACTTGGAGATGGCACAGAGAAATCACAGTTGTTACAAACATCCCAACAACACTACAAGGATGGTAAATCTCAGGGAGGTGACAATCACTGCAGTACATATGAACCACAGTTCTCGTATCAACGAGCAGGTGCTATCGTGGATAGTGTTGAGGAGGATACCAGCTCTACTGTTCTGCTTACTAAATCAAAAGAGAAAACTATATTGGCCAATCCAGTGGATCTGAATCATTGCTTAGAGATATCCAGTAGTGGTAGCTGTTTGAACTCTATTAATTCAGCTGTCCTATCAGGTCAGGTCCTTCCCCAAAACTTTGCTGGTGTGGGCTCTATTCCGAATGAAGGCTCAAATGTTCATGTTGGATTTCAAGCAGAAGAAAATCATCATAAATACCACGGATCATCTGTTGGTGCTAGTTTAGCAGTCAAGGCGAGATCAAGCGATCTTATTAGGCGACAACTGCCTGAACCTTCTAGTTCTTGTTTTGTTGCTTCTCTCCGTGTAAATGATGGGAACAGAAGCAAAATGCTTCAGGAAAGGTTGACAGCACTTCATCCTAGGCTTATTAGATCGAAAGACATGGTGAACAGCATAAGCTCTTCTGCAGGATCAAACAAATCAACCGATGCACAAACTCCAAATTGTGTATCTGCATGCAGGAACATGCATAGTGAAGGCTATCAGGGGCTTCCTCTTAATTCACATGGTGAATTTGTCAAGCTTCATCCTAGTGGCACAATCGATCCTAATGGGATGTTTAAGAGACAATTTCCGGTAGGGGATTACGTAAGACCTTCAGCATTTCCAGCCTTTATCACACCTGAAACTTGCGTGGATTATGCCCATTTAAAAAGCAGCTATCAAGGACCACAATTTTGTGCAGTAGATACATTTGATTTTCAGTCAGAGCCTTATCATTCTCCTACAGCATCAGCTGCATATGGTATGGGTTTCAGACAGTCACCAAGTTCTGAAAGAATGGAGGTACATGGTTATGCAGTTCCTAGCAATAACGATCCATACAGCAACCAGCAAGAGCTTTCAGTGGGATGCTTTTGCCCTGCATTCACGGGACAAGGTAATCAAACACATAAGCCACTAGAGATGCAAAATTGCTTTCCTAGTCAGCATTATGAGCAGAACTCCCAGCCAGCTCCTGAAACAACAGTGCGCCTGATGGGCAAAAACTTCACTCTTGGAACCAGCAGTAACCAATTCAGAGGTCTAGATAACAAGAATCCTTGTCCAAGTAAACAAAGTAGAGATGAAGATCATGGTACGTCCGCAAAAGCTTTTTCTCAGTTGTTTCATGGTACGCGTGTTGAGCCTCCTAGCACATTGAGAAATTCAAATGGAGGGGTGGAACATCCATCACGTTTTTCTTCTGTTCCGGAAGCTGAACTAAGGTGTGGTCTTGATTCCTATAGTTTCAGAACAAGTGATCGCTATCAACAACCTCATCTAGCTGTTCAAAATAAGCTGTATGTTAACCCAGTGAGCAGGCACAATGAGTCTGAGCCATGGCAGCAGCAACTCCATGTGGAAAACCATATTCTTGGTGCTTCTGAACCCCAGCTCCTTGGTACTATGCACCTCAGACAGAGTAAAACTGCTGCAACAGTGCCATCTTACAGTCCAAAGCATAACTTTAGCAACTTAGTGGAAATAAGGCCAGCACGTTCTCAGTTCGCTTATTTTCCACGGCAAAACGTAACACAGAGGACTCCAATATCATCTTTTTTGTCTGGTTACGCTGTTCAGAGCAGTCCTGGTTTGACAACTCCAACAAAGTTTACCTCCCTCCGTCCATTGCCCCCTTCAGTTACATCTTCTCATGTTTACAGCAGTGAAGACGCACAGCCTCATGGATCTGTTCCTCCATTTTATCCATCAATTGCCTTGTCTGATCAGGCAAGCAAAAATTGTGATCCTGGTGATCTCAAAGACAATAGGAGCATGCAGCAGACTCCGATAACATCAAATCATGATAGTTCTGAACAATTGAACAGAGGTTTCAAAAGGCCAGCAGTAGAGGATGATGTGTTCCTGAAACCAAGAAAATCTTTCATAGCAGTAGGAAAGGACCTAAATCTGTTACCACTTCAAGAAGAAAGGCTGGGATTGTGTGGGTCTAGACCAGATGCACAACTGCCTGTTTGTCTCAGCAAAGATTCTGAAGTGGATGTTCAACTTTTAAACAACGATACGCAGATCGCGTGGTCTGATTCTGTCAATCGGGTAAGAACAATTCTACCTGTTAAGTTGAGATCTGGAGCGAAGCATATACTTGAGCCAGGTGCTAGTCCTACTGCTACCTTGGGCCAAGAGGAGTCATGGCCTTTGCATTCGATTAAAACTTTTGTAGTGGAGGATGATGCTCACGCAGTAGGCACATCAAAGAAGAGAGACGAAGAAATTTGCAGAGTCTGAAGAAATTTGTGAGTGATGATAAGGAACTTCATTTGCGGTACAACCTGAAACCAGTGTCGCCGAAAACAAATCATAGTTTCGGCTCATGACAGGTATGTGCAAAGGAATACATGAGAATTCTCAGGCGTTCACAAGGGGAAAATGATGGTATATGCATCAATGCATGTGGTAGTTTCTGAGTATGTTCATTATGGACTGCATTAATTACTTCACAACAAGCAATCCTATGACGAGCATGCCAGATAGTAATGCACTTCATATGCCGTGCAGCACTTTTTTCCTCTTGCATTTCTGTAATCAATTTCCTTTCTTGATCTCTCGTACAAACCTCGTGAAGCCTTCAGGAAACAGAGAAATGGCCTAAACTAGTTGGGCCGTATATGGCCTTTACCTGAAAGGACCACTCGTATTTATCAAACATGTTATTCTTCACTTGAATCGGTTGGTCGCATTGCCTTGCACTCTAGTACGTACTCCTACTAAATTTCTTTTCTTTTTACATTTACTCCTACTAAATTTCTAGTAATACCTAATCATGAGCTGTGCCTTAACTGTTCTTCTCGAGTAACGAGTGAATGTTGTGGTCATGTGAAGCTAGGTACATGCAGAGTTTACCATACCTTTTTAGGTAGGGTTACCACCACCTCATGGTTTGACGGTTATCTTGGTTACCGTTGTTTCGAAAATTGATAAGATTACTGCACGTGATAGCCCGTGATAATCACATAGTTTTCTAAACCCCGGTACATGTGTTCAAGGCAAAATGAGATATTCAGGTACCAATTACACATCCTTACCAAACTAACCGAACACTGGAAGAACAATATAATAACTGTGATCTCAAAAGAATCTACTACACGTCGTTGTACATTGTAGTAAAAAAAAAATCCATGATACCTATAATGTTATTTGGCAATTGCCATATAACTATATATAAGCAATTTTTTGGCCATGTGATCGAGCTTAATTAGAGGCTCGCGAGAGTGCGGAGATCCACCGGGTGCACGTCGGACTGCAGCCGCGCGCTGTACGTCCTCTGGCCGACGAGTACGTTGGCCGCCTCCGTCGGGTGGAACGCGTCCCAGAAGGCGTACTCGTGCCTGTTGGCGCACGGCGTCTGGAACGGCAGGCACGTCACCTGACCGTTGTTCCTCCCCACCCCACAGCACCCCTGGTTCGTCACCTTCAAACCTGCACAAACAAAATATTTCTCCGCTAAGCTAAGCTAAGCTAAGCTTTTAGGTCGAACTGGATAGGCTGGTCGGTAACCGACCGGTGCACGTCTCCGGTGCACGTGACTAGACGACTTCACAAGCTTTTAGGTTGAACTGGTTTGATCGGTCAATCGGTGACGGTTTGCGATTTCGGTAACCACTGAAATTCGGTGGTTGCCAAAATTTGGAATTTTTTTGAATTTTGGTGTTTTTGCATGAAATTATTTGAAATTTTAACATATTTTTGACTGAATTTGAATAAAAGTTTACCAAATTCATAGATATTTTTAAAAAATCTGAAGTTTCAGGGTAGATTTGTGCTTGCCGGTGGGGTCCGAAATTTCGAACTGAAAATTCAAACCCTTGTGTGTATGCGGTGAAACGATTTTGATTATGAGCTTTTTTGAGGTGTACTGGTCGGTCCTACCGTGGGATCCGGGTGCACCGAGGATGTCGTCGAAGATGCCGTAGATGTTGATGTAGGTGAAGTGTGCGCCGGGGAGGGTGTTGAACTGGTCGACGAGGCCGACGAGCTTCTGGTTGAAGATCCTGATGGCGCTGTTGATCCGCTCGACGCAGGTGACGCCATTGGCGCTCTGCTGGGCGAGCTCGTTGGGGCTGCACCCGACCTGGCCGACGCCGACGAGCGCCACCTTCCTGGCGCCGTTGCTGTACATGGCGCGGAGGAGCTGCGCGTACCGGGCGGCGAGGTCGTCGGCGTACTGCTCCGGCGTGTACTGGCTGCCGGTGTTGTAGAACGCCGGCATGAAGTAGTTGTTGAGGTAGTCGTTGCTGCCCATCCCGACGGTGAAGATGCACTGGCTCAGGTGCGCCGCCGCCGTGTCCTCGTCGCCGAGGATGCTCACCAGCTGCTGCACCGCCGACTGGTAGTTCTGCACCTGCCCGCTGAAGCTGATCCGCGCCCCCAGCTGCTGCCCGGTCTCCTCCCGGATCCCCGCCGCCGCCGACGCGAAGTTCACGCCGGTCAGCAGCTGGTCGCTGCTCGCGCCGGCGAACGGCGGGATGAAGTCCTCGAACCCCAGAAGCTTAGCTGCACACCACACGCGCGCGCGCACATTGTGATCAGCGCCATGTACTATGTCATCACGTACGAGACGTTTTGATTTTGGTTAAAATCAAACTGTTTTTGCAAAAAAGTCAAATTTTTTTAAGTTAAACTAAGTTTATAAATAAACATATTAATATTTATAATACTAAATTAGTTTCATTAAATCAATAATTGGATATATTTTTATAATAAATTTATCTTGAGTTAAATATGTTACTATTTTTTTCTATAAATTTAGTTAAAGTTAAAACAGTTTAACTTTGACTAAAGTTAAAATGTCTTATAAATCGAAACGGAGGAAGTAGCTAAGCTTACAGATGACGTCGACGGTGGTGAGGCCGTTGCTGAAGCGGCCGGTGGCGGCGCCGCCGGCGAAGTCGATGCCGTAGGGCGGGTAGTTGGCGCGGGCCAGCGACACGATATCGTTGTTGTTGCCGTTGTCCACCAGCGAGTCCCCGAACACGAAGTAGCACGGCACCTGCGGCGCCGCCTGCACCGGCGCCGCCACGGCCAGCACGACCGCCGCCGCCACCACCACCGGCCACCGCCGCCAAGCACCCGCCATTAATTCCGACGACGACGAGACACGTACGCTGACACTGCCACTATCACTAAGAGCAGTGTGAGATAGATAGAATGCGACACAACGTGTTTCATTTATATATAAGTCGATCGTCTCCTGGCTCCAATGGAGTAGGATTGAATTAAATCAGGCCGCATCAGCAGCAGCGAAAAATGGATTGGATTTTAATTATTGGGCTCTTTGCAAGCTAGTCGCCATTGGGCCGAGCATTAACTTCCACGCGGCGCGGGCACTGTACCATGTGTGAATTGCAAGCTTACGACCTGGCTGATTGATCGATCGAACAACAGTTCACACAATTCAGTACATCACTGGCAGTGTCTGCTAGTACTAGCTAGTTAACACTATTCAGATTTCATTTGAACATACGCCAACTACGGCCTTTTTAGTTCCCGTGCAAAAATTTTTACACCGTATTATATCGAACGTTTGGACACATGTATAAAGTATTAAATATAGGTTAAAAATAACTAATTGTACAGATTGCGACTAATTTACGAGACAAATCTTTTAAGCCTAATTGCTTCATGATTTGATAATGTGGTGCTACAGTAAACATTTGCTAATGACAGATTAATTAGGCTTAATAAATTCGTCTCGCGGTTTACTGACGGATTATATAATTAGTTTTTTTTATTACTGCCCAAACACCCCATGCGACAATGTATATTATAATACCTGATGTGACACGCCAAAACTTTATACCCCTAGATCTAAACACCCCCTATAGCCATATTCAGATTCATATACAAAAGTAAATTTATTTTATGACGGAGATGTATGTACAAATGTAAAGTATTTACGCAAATCCGTACATGAGGCCTGGTTTACCAATCAGCATCTGGATTCTGGAAATTCTGGAACCGTAATGTCGCCAATTAATTAACTATGAAGCACATACAGGTTGAGTGTAAATTACGTTCGAGCACACCCAAAGTACAGGTATTTCACTGAAGAGACTTTTACTTCAGTAGTAGTAATAATGGAGATTGGCTTCACTGCGCATCTCCTGGAAAATAAAAAATGGCAACATGCAAAACACTGCCAATGCATGCATGAGGTTGGAAGTTGGCAGCTGGGTGTTAAGTTGCTGCTGACCCACGAGCATTTTGTGAAGAACAAAGAACAATCCGTTCAAAAAAAAAAAAAGAACAAAGAACAAGAACACGGCCCGCTTGTTACACAGGTTCTAACTTCCAGGCTGGGGATTTCCAGTTCCTTTACTGCTGGAGTGCTGGTAGTAGCTGGTGAGACGACATGAATGGTTTCAGACTTTCAGTCAGAATTTCTCACTGACCGGAAGAAAAAAACATGATCTCAGCGACCGATCGACAAATTCCCTAGCTAATAACTCGCCGACAATTCCCGTCGAGCTTACTGAATCTTCTTCCGTTTTCCATAGTTAAGTTATTGCTAGCTAGCTCCACTCCAATAAATACTCGATCGATCAATCGACCAACGCAACTGTGCAAGACATCAAACCTGACAGACTTGTGAGCTAGCTGCAGAATAGGAAAAAAAGATGGATATCGATCTGTCAAAGGAGAGGAGGACACACACCCCACATGCAATGCATCCATGCAAGTAGCAGCGGCGTCGTCACAAATCGATCTGGTTGGTAGATCGATCGATCACCGCCCGTAGATTCTGACCACGCGAATTCATTGCGCCGCCATGGTAGAGGTGAAGAGGTGTATTGCTTCTTTTTGCTGCTACTAGAAGTAGCTCTGCTCCATCCAGGCATCCACTAGCCTAGATCTAGGAACAGTACTGATCGATTCGTAATGTCCCAGATGACTCCCAGTAACCAACTGCAAGTACAGGTAGTCCCAGTTTATTCGATAGCAAACAGTATGATCATTTTCCCTAGCGAATAAGGAGAAGGACTATTTTCTCTGTCCCAATAAAAAGTCCAATTATAAACACTTGTCTGCGTTTATTTTTAGAATTTGATTTTTTTTTAAAAGATGAAGGTAATGCATATACTAAAGTAGTAATAATTTAGAATGATCATTTCCTGATCAATTTCGTTATGGGTCAGAATGTCAGATGAACCGTATACAACATCGTGTGCATATGTTCTGTGTTAGGAATATGACTTATTACAAGCCTACTGATAGGTTAAGAAAAACATATTAGCCAAGTGGATGTAGCTCAGTTGATTAGGTTTCTTGTGATGGAACCTGCCCACTTAGGTTCAAGTCTTAGACTCCGTACCGATGCTTGTATTTATGAATGATTATTCCTTTAGTGATAAGTAGCATTTTCATAGACACTTGTAGTGACTTCGTGAATATCAAGATATGTCCATTTAGTATTTCAAAGATACTTATAGGGTGAGTATGTGCGATATGCTTTCGAATGTGCTTATAGGGTGAGTAAGCGTCTATGTTTCCTTGAGTAATTCCTTTTCTTGATGATACCTTAGGCCACCACAACTTTGATGAAGGTGACCTAGGATGGGCCGATAAATGGGCCTGTCAGCCCACTTTTATGAAGAAAATGGTAATGAAGCCTTTTCTCTCTCTTTTTTTTAATCTAATAATATAGTATATGCACTACTCGTTTCTCATCGTTTCACATAAGTCATCGTAGCAGTCCATCTGCTTGTCAAATGTCGACTTCATCGATTTCCATTACCAGATACTCCATTTTCCATGAAACAAGTGGCCACTCCACTCTTTGTCCCGTGAGCTCTCATCCGGCACGGTTTTGCACCTGCCCAAACTGCTGTTCTACGCACGAGTAACACAGACAGAAACAGCTTACTGCATTTCACATTTCTCGCTGTCGTTTTCAGGTATATATACAATACATCTCCCATGCTGCAAATATCCAGCAATAGGAGCAAACTGGGAGACAGAAAGACATGGCCTGGTAAGAAGATCGATGAGCAGCAGCGATCGAGGTCGTCGTCGTAGCCCACAAAACGTGGCCCAGAAACCGATCGCACGTACCTATTGCCATTGCGAACCACACGGTCCACACCTGTCCGGAGAAGGTCCACGTGCTCGTAAAATCTACGAGTATCATATTCGCCGCTATCGCTGCTCGCTGGCTCGCGTCAGTCATCTGTACCCAAGATTCCTTGACCAGCCGTCACCACCGGAGACAGCAAAAAGCATTGTATTTTGGATATTTTTTTTTGGCCCCGTTTAGTTTTTCAAAAGTTTTTCCTAAAAACATCACATCGAATCTTTGAACACATACATGAAGCATTAAATACATATTAAAAGAAAAACTAATTGCACAGTTAAGGGAAAAATCGTGAGACGAATCTTTTTAGCTTAATTACTCCATGATTAGCCATACGTGCTACAGTAATCCACATGCGCTAATAACGGATTAATTAGGCTCAAAAGATTCGTCTCGCGGTTTCCATGCGAGTGATGAAATTAGTTTTTTCATTTGTGTCCGAAAATCTCTTCCGACATCCGGTCAAACATTCAATGTGACACCCAAAAATTTTCACTTCGCGGACTAAACAGGCCCAGGTAGAGCGTCGGATTTTTTCAGCTACTTCAATATATTATATTATGAGGATTATTTTTTTGTGTCTAATATATATTTTATAAAAAAATTGAATGTTGGGAAATCTGGAAGGAGAGGAATCGGCGGATCTTCGACCACAAAGAGGCGGCAATAGGCTTTCTCCTAACACGGATCAAGGAGGAGGCTAGTCTCTAGGCTCTAGCAGGGGCTAAAAGATTACGCGATCTCGTTCCGCATATTGTATAGTGTATACCTCCTAGTTTCTTTTCTTTACCCTTAGGGGTTGTATTTTCTCCTGATCTATTCAATGAAAAGGCACTGCTGTACTGTTTTCCGTTAAAAAATTGAATGTGTTGTGTTGGCTGAGTTCTTTTTCTCAAGTTGGAGATAGATTTTCAGCGTACATGAAACGAGAAAACTCTCTAGCACATGAGTAATTAAGTATTAATAATTACAAACTTGAAAAAATATATTTATTTGAATTTTTCAAACAACATCTGTATAGATATTTTTGCAAAAAAAAAGACACCATTTAATAGTTTTAAAAATGTGCTGACGGAAAATGAGGAAGTTGAAGAAAATAATTAAGCCTATAGACCATATATTCTAAGCTACTGTTAAGTTTTTTATTTTAAAAAAGTTAATATATTATTATAATAAAGTAAAAATTCATAGCAATAATCCACAATAATTTATCATACTGGGGAGTACTACAAGATATAAATCTAAAACACGGTTGTAAGTGGTACGAAGCCAAGAAATATGTAATACTCACACAAAGTCTAACAATGTACATTAAATATTTTTCCCGGTCTATTAAACATTGTATTTTTTGAAAAAAAACACAATTAAAAAAGTTTCTCTAAAAATTCGTGTTAATCTAATTGTAAGGTCTAAAATAATTATTATTTCACCTCGTTTCATGTACGTACGTATATTAATTCTCAATCTCCATTCTCCTCTTAAACACACTGTTACCACTTTGATTTACTTAGCGTAGTCGCAGGCCGGCTGGTTTTTGTATGTGATAGTTGATGAAACACCCGTGGTTCCCGCCACAAACCCGGCGGCGGTCGGGGACGACACACACCGACACACGGGGTCGTCATCTCGCCTGATCGATCAGGACGGACGAGGCCGCGCCACATTTTCCGGGAGCGAGCCACACGTCTGCCCCCCACCTCTGCCGCATTCCACCGCTCTCGCAACGCAGCCTCGTTCGCTCGCTTCTCCGACAGATTAACCAACCAAAAGGCCAATCTCTCTTGCTCCTCTCTGTCCCGGCGATCTCTACACGACGTACGCGTGCATCGTTCTGGGGTAGGGTAGAATCTCGCTCCAATTTCCCATCGTTCTCTTGCTCGTGGGCTTTGGCAGAAAGGAGAGGAGAAAAACGTGGTGGCGGCGCGAGGCCGGAGATGAATCTGCGGCGTGGCGGTGCGCCATAGGCCGGCTGCGGCGCCGCCCACTTGCCTTGTGCATTAATTGGGCCGTTTTGAGGTGACAGGTTTTGCGACCCATTATTGGACACAGGCCGGCTGTCGAGTCACGGGGAAATACACATG